AAACTAACCAGGTTCCGAGAGAACGAGACCACGACCCAAGGGCCGAGAGAACAAGAAACAAGACAACGAACCAGGGTCAGAGAAAACGAAACCGCGACCCAGGGGCCGAGAAAACGAGAAAACGCGAAAACGAGACTACGACTAAGGGGCCGAGAAAACGAGAAAACGAACAAGGGTCAGACAAAACCACGATCCAAGGGCCGAGATCACCCAAACAACTTGGTTCGAGAAAACGAATCCACGACCCAAAAGCCGAGAAAACACGGAAACGAGAAAACGAAGCATGGTCATAGAAAACGAGGCTACCACCCGGGCGCCGAGAAAACGCGAAAATGCGCATTCTAGCCAGCGCCCGAGAAAACGAGACTACGACCCAAGGGCCGAATGTACACACATACTTGGCAGGGCGTGCGAGCGATCCATGGCAGAGCGTGCGAGCGATCAATGGCAGGGCGTTCGCCAGGGGGCCCCACCCCTCCCCTGCCTCGTGTGCCAGAGAAGAGAACTGCCACGGCCGCGTGGGCGGGGGTGGGGAGAGGCTAACACCCCTTTTGCACCTGGACAGGTAGGCCCCCCCCCAGCGCGCTGGAGATGATGAGGAAGAGTACGGAACGGAGGGAGGGACCGCCCCCCCCTGACGGCTCCCTTCCCTTTTGCTCGCCAAGGGGAGGGGGGGGCCTTAGCCCCCCCCTGCCACTCGTTCGCGAGCGGGGAGGGGGGGAAGGACGCACCCCCCTTCCGAACCCCGCTAAATTTATTTTTGTTGGGGGGGGGGCTCCCCCCTTCCGACAAGCCCCCCCCCAGCGCGCCGGGGGGGTGGGAGGGCTCCTCCCCCCTTCCGACCTCCCCCTAGATTTTTTTTGTTGGGACGGGCGGGGGGGGCTCCCCCCTTCTGACAAGCCCCCCCCCCCAGCGCGCCGGGGGGGGAGGCCCACCCCCTCTCCGACCCCCCCTGAGTTTCTTTTGGTCTTTGGGTGGGGGGCGCTCCCCCCTTCCGACCCCCCCTCTGGGATTTTTTTGTTGGGTATCGCTCTAACAAGCCCTCCAAGAGGCCCCCAGGAATCTCCCAGGAGGCCCCAAGAGTGCCCCAAGAGGCGCTCAAGAGGCCTCCTCCTCCTCCTCCTCCTCCTCCTCCTCCTTTCTTCCTCATCCTCCCCCTCCTCCTCTTTTTACTCCCCCATGCGTTCCCCGAAATCTTTTCAAACCGACTCGGGGATCAACTGGCCCGATAGCTTGGCCAAGCTCTGGCTCAGCTGTCGGGCACGGGGGCGCCTCCACAGGGGCACGGGGCGGCGGTGATTCGCCGTAGGCGTCTTCGATCCGCCGCCCCCTGCTGGCTTGCCACAGGGGTGCTCGGAGTGTTGGATGCTCTGAAAGGTTTTCGGTCTTTTAAAAACTCCCAATGGGGCTTCGGCGCAGCGCGCCCGCCACCCGAAAAGAACACAAGTTTGTCCTGCTTCAAATGGCTCCAAAATGGTCTCCAAGATGGCCGAAATAGCCCCCAAGTTCGCCCAAGATTGGTCCAAAAGGACATCCTAGACGGAACAAGATGGTCACCGATGCCCCCAAGTCGGCCCAAGAAGCCTCACAGACGGCCCAAGACGACCCAGAGTACCCCAGGAGGCCTTGAAGGCGGCTTCAAAAGGTCTCCAAGAGGTCCCCCAGGAGGGCCCGAAGAGGCTGAACTTATTGATTTACCTCTGGCTTTTGAAGGAATTTTCTGCATTCCCTTCTTTTCGGCCTTCCGACGGCTCAAGACGGCCCTGGAGGCCCCCAAGATCGCCCCCAGAGCTCCCGAGAGGCCTCCAAGAAGACCCCATCACGGCCCAAACGGCCCAGGTGGCCCGCCCCAAGAGGGCCCCAAGAGCGCCTTACGAAGGCCCAAAGACGGCCCAAACGATTCTCTGATTTCAATCATGGCGTCGTTCATCCAATTCGGCCTCTGTGGCCTGGCGACCGGTGTTTCGCCGACGGCTAGTTTCGCCCTGCTGGTTTCGCCGGGCTGGTTTCGCCGCCCAGCGAAACCAAGTCCGTCGGCGAAACCAGCTCCGTCGGCGAAACCAGCTGCTGTCGGCGAAACCAACTGCCGTCGGCGAAACTGCCCGACCCGACCGGCCCGCTAGCGTCCGTCCGCCCGACCCGACCCGCCCGTTAGGATTCGCGCGTGCTCGGTCGAGCGCGCCCCACACGTTCATGTTCCGCCGCCCGACACGACCCGCCCGCGAGGGCCCACCCGCTCGACCCGACCCGACCCGCCTGCTAGGGTCCGCCCGCCCGACCCGACCGCATGTTAGGATTCGCGCGTGCTCGGTCGAGAGCGCGCCCCACACTTTAATGCCCCGCCCATCCGACCCGACCCGCCCGTTAGGGTCCGCCCGCCCGACCCGCCCGCTAAGGTCCGCCCGCCCGCCCGACCCGACCCGCCCAATAGGATTCGCGCGTGCTCGGCCCAGCGCGCCTCGCCCGCCGACCCGACCCGCCTGTTAGGGTCCGCCCGCCCGTCCCGACCCGACTCACCTGCCAGGGTTCGCCAGCCCGACCCGACCCGACCCGACCGACCCGCCCGTTAGGGTCCGCCCGCCCGACCCGACCCGCCAATTAAGGTTCGCGCGTGCTCGGTCGAGCGTGCCCCACACTTGACTGTCCCGGCCGCCCGACCCGACCCGCCCGCTAAGGTCCGCCCGCCCGACCCGACCCGCTCGCTAGGGTCCACCCGCCCGACCCGACCCGCCCGTTAGGGCTCTCGCTGGCGGAACCAGCGCCGGCGAAGCCAGCGCCGGCGAAACCAGCCGCTCGCGAAACCAGCGGGGCGAAACCAGCGGGGCGAAACCAGCGCCGGCGAAACCAGCGCCGGCGAAACCAGCCGTCGGCGAAACCAGCGGGGCGAAACCAGCTCATGCCTGCGGCCCGCGCTCGGACACTGGGATTATCAAACACAAATCTGGGGCGAAAAAACTGCCACAGGGGAGAGGGTCGGGGCATCTGGGGCCGCACACTGGAAACATCTCATCGTCGGATGTCTGGGATACGCGGGAGAGCGCCCACGCCCAGGGATATGTTCCAATAGATGGAGGCGCAGGGTGCTGCTGTCTAAGCTTACCGCAGCCTGAGCCCTGGGTGGGCTTTTCTAGTCCAGAAGAGCGGTCACGTGAAAGTTATGTAGGCATTTGCATCGCGCGTGGGGGTGGACGGGGACGAGCAGGGTAATCAGGGCAAGAGGAGGACGGAGGGGGTTCGGAGCACGCGGGTGGGAGAACGGGCGGAGGGGGGGAGCGGGGAAAAGGAGAGGGGCGATGATCAGGCAGCGGAAAGAGAAGGAGGAGGAGGAGGAGGAGGAGGAGGAAAAAAGGAGGAAGGGCACGAGCAGGGGAGAACTCGAGGGGGATGAGGGAGAAGGGGGTAAGGAGGAAAGGAGGACGAGGTGGGCGACAACGAATCGGGGGAAGACCCCACCGCCTCCAGAGCGCCCCTCGCGAATTCAAGAGGGCCCCGGGAGCTCCAGAACGGCGCGAAGAGCTGGGGGCACCTCTGGCCAGAAGCACGGTTGGCAACACCTCGTCGCGGGCGGGAGAGGCACTTGCGCCCGCCGCCCTGCTTGCCCCGGGCTTCTCGGCCGCGGACCCGCGTGGATTACAGGGCGGTCTTGCGCGGATGCTCCTCGCCGAACGTCCATGGGGTCGCGCTTCCGTGGGATCGCGCCCCAGGTGTCCCGACGGCGAGAGCATGGACATGGATGGGTTCGTCGCTCGCGAGGCCTCTCGATGCCAGGAAAGCCAGGAAAGGGTCCTGCGGCCCGTGGACAACCCGCGTCGCGGGCGCGCCCGGCCCGGCCTGGCCGCGACAAGGAGAGGGCCCCTGGAAGCCTGCAGAGGCCCCCAGGAGCCTCCGGAAGTCTCTGGAGGCCCTCGGAGGCGAAGGGCAAACGACAAGGGGGGCCGGCGGAACGGCTCGGGGGGGGAACGCTCTGGGATCGGCGACGCGTGGCGGAGAAATCGGCGACGGGCCCCCGATAGCGAATCCGCGCGCTCCTGGATGGGGTGACACGTCAAGCCCCCCCTATCGGCGATCAATGGGCGATTGGGGGTCGATGCGTACCACCTGAGCCTATTCACCGCTAGTGCTGCCGCTGGGGAAGCCTCCGGGGGGCCCAACTCAAACCCAAAAGCGCCCCGAAACCTCGACCCTCGACCCCCTCCTTTCCTCGTCGCAACCACGAGTTGCGGACGCGAAATGCGACCGCGCCGAATGGCGCTGTCAGCGTCACCGCACACCTCAAAAAGGCTCGGGCTGCGAGCGAGCAACTCAGCACTTACAGAGTGACAGGGTGCAGCTGATAGTAAGTGACCTCTCGGCGTTTCCCTCCTGGCGCACACCCTGCGCAACCAAGGTTCACTATCCGCCCGCCCCTGGATCATCGGCAACACGCCGAAGAGTTACGCGAATGTGAGGAACCAGAGCCATCGTTCCAGTTTGGATAACTGCGGCTGGTGACACGGCGACGACATGATGAAAGAGGACGGTGGCAACGACGAGGGGCAGCAGAGAGGCGTCGGAAAACTAGTGAAAAATAACAAAGCGAGTGAGGGGGCAGGGAGGGAGGGCCTCAGCAGCGAGCACAGCAGCGAGAAGGTCGAGGAAGCGGGGACAGCTTAAATAGTGCGAGACCGAGTCTAAGGCGCCACTGCATCCGAAAGTGCAAGGACATTGTTTCTGGAATGAGTTCGGCGTGGTCCAAGCTCCTGCAAGGGTATTCAACGCCGCGCAACTAAGAGACGGGGGCATCTTGATGAGTCTGGTGCAGACTGTCTCCCACTGAATCATGTCTATTTCGGCTTGTTTGCGGGGGAACCATTTCTTTAAACGGATGGCTAACATCTGGGAAAGCGTGTCTGGAAATATATTAGCTAACACCTCGGCGTCCTCCTCCTCCTCCTCCTCCTCCTCCTCCTCCTCCTCCCCATCCTTCTGCACCTGTCCTCCCGGAGGGGAGCGCGGGTCTCCAGTCTCGGTTGAGGTAGAGCAGTATCGTCAGCATCCGCAGGTTGTCCTTCCCGTGGTAGCTGTCCTTGTGGCAATGGTACTCTGCGCCGCGCCTGCGGTTGGCAGAGTGGCGAAGCAACGGCACTGCAGAAACACTCACGCCGTGTGTGTAAACCCCATGTCACGTCAAATGTGGGATTGTATGTTCGGAACCGAGCGTGTCACATTGCACGTAGGAGCCGTGTGTATGTGTTTTCGTTTGTGCTCGTGTGTGTGTGTGCGAAGAGATGTAAAACGTGGATGGCCACACTTGTCTGTGTGAGCGGAGAAGGATGATGCGCGAGAGGGATGCAGAGGGAGGACGTTGAGACGGTTCCATTGCACAACACCTGGTTCATGTAGGTTGGTCAATCGAGGTGTCCCTCCCTAGCAGAAGACGACCAGGTTGTGCTCTCCTTTGCCTCTTCGGCCCTGCGAGGAGTGGTGGGAATCTCTGTAAGTTCCAAACTCTGTCATGATTTAATCAGCTCGTCTCTCGTTGAATGGGTTGAGAGATGGTCGCGCTGAGGAAAAACGTGGACGATGAGGAAGAGAGGGAGGACCAGGACAGAACGAGGAAGACAGGGCAGGAGGAGGATAGAGAGGCACATGAACGGGGCAGAGAGAGAGCGGATGAAATTGGAGCCCTCTCCAGGCAGACAGGCACGCCTCCGAGAGCACGGGGGTGCCAGCCCAGTCAGCACAGGGCCAACGAGGAACCCCCTCCCCTCTGCAGTCTTGCGCAGATTGGGTCAAGAGCCCAGGAGGCTCTCCGCCGACTCCTCCTCCACCTCAGGTTTCCAGAATCTGAGGAGGAGGAGGGGGCTCGCCTCCTCTCCCTTCCCCCACCAAGGGGGGTCTACACACAAACAGTCAAGTAGGCAAACAAGATCAGAAGTACATACACCCATACACACTTACGAAGTTGTATACAAGCGCTAGAACCACGCTCATGTCTTGCGCGCTTAGTTTCTAGCACAGTCCATGGCGCAAGGATCAAACGCATGTGAAACAATCATGGGCCTGCCTTTGTCCTACCTACCCTTCACGGTCCGAATCGTCCTGACTGGCCGCCTGAAGCTCGGTTCATTCATGGCCCAGTAAATCAGCCGTAGGAATTTGGGAGGGAGGGGAGAGGGAAGAATTGAGGACTGAGGGGGTTCAAGGTTTTGAACGACGTTCCTTAGGAAATTTGGGGGGCGTCGTGGGTACCTATTGGAGGCTGGCTGTTGGCCCTGGACTCTGGTGGGCCTCTCTTAAGGCCCTCTTGATGCGTCTTGGGCCCTCTTGGGGGGCCTATTGGGCCATCTCGGGGCCCTCTTGGGCCGTCTTGAGGCCGTCTTGAACTATTCCTAGAAGCCAACGCCAGGGCAGCCGTGACCCTCCAGATTAGCTCAAGCGTGTCGGCATAGCCCTGGACGACGACCTGGCCAGGACCTGAGTACATAGGCCCCTCGTTCAAATCTTCACCATCCGCCTCAGCGTCGGTCTTCTCCACCTTGGACTGCTGATCTTACTCCTTGGCGAGAATGTGTCAGAAAGAGTAGAGTACGATCTCAGAGGTATTCGAAGTCATCCGTGATGGGCAAGGCGGAACTGAACAATCGTTTATATGAACCAATAACCAATGCCTGGGCAGCCGTACCCCCCCCAGATAAGCTCAAACGTGCCACTTGCGCACAGGGGTCGAACTCCGAGCTGCCTCTCAGGGCGTCTCAGAAACAGCCCTAAAGCCTCTCAGGGTTTCTTGTGGGCCTCTTCGGGGCCCATGGGCCTCCTCGGTGAATCTTGCGGACATCCTGGGGCTCTCTTGGGGACTTCTTGGTGGCCTGCTGGCGGTCTCGGGCGTTCTCTTGGGGTGGAAGGCTCGACATGTCGGTTCGAGCACCCCGTTCCGTCTTGGACCGTCTTAGGCGCCTCCTGGATCGTCTGGGGATCCTCTTGGGCCCTCTTGGGGCTCTCTTGGGGGCATTCTGGGCCGTCTTGGGGCGATGCTGGGAACTCGAAGGCCGTCTTGCACGCTGTTAGGAGCCCGGAAATAGATATGCTCAAAGTGCACGCTTCCCTGAGGGAATGCAGCGAATTGAGCCTCTTTGGGTCCTCTAGGGGGGCTTCTTGGAGCTTTCTTCGGGCGTCTCGGGGGCCTCCTGGCCGTCTTGAGGCCACCTTTCGCCGTTCTGGAGCGCTCTTCAGCCGTCGCGGGGGCCTCTTGGCCACTCTTCGATTTCTCTTGAGGCGCTTTGTGGCTGCGTCGGGAATACCATGGGCCGTCTTGGGGCCATTTGAAGCCGTCCCAAGGCCGCTGGGGGGAGGAAAATACAAGCGCAACGCGGATGTGCAGGAGGTGTGCCAAAGCTCGCGGGCCGGGAACCCGATATTCACCCATGTAGTGTATTATAGATCCGCCACCGTGCTCCCTGGCACGCTTGGGCGTGCTAGAATGCCAAGAGTTGTCTGGTCCACATGCGCCGCCTTCTCTCTCGAGGCCGCAGCCCATAGCAAAAATACACGACGGCCCAAGAGGCCTTGAAGACCGCCGAAAAAAAGGCTTCAAGAGGACTCTCCTGAGGGCCCGAAGAGGCCCACACATGAAAATCCTCTATTTCCCGTGAAGGATTCTCCCTTCGGGCTTCCGTCAAATGAAAATGGCCTACGACGCCTGCACGACGGCCCCAGATGCTTCCAAGACGGCCAAAATTGGTTTCAAAACGGCCTGAAATGAACCCTGGACTGCCCTAGACGGCCTCACGACGGCCCCGAGAGACCCCGAAAACCGCCACGAGAGCCCCAAGAGAGCCCCAAGACGGCCGCATAGAGCTCTCTCATCGAGCAGTGAAGACGAGACGTGTCACATTTGACGGTCGCCTCCTCCTTTTTTATCTTATGCATGATTCCCCTCCTCCTCCTCCTCCTCATCCTATGTATCCTCCTCCTCCTCTTCCTCTTCCTCCTCATCCTTCATCGTCCCCTCCCCCTCCTCCTCCTCCCCCTCCTCCTCCTCCTCCTTCTCCTCCTCGTCCTCATCATTCTCCTCCTCCTCCTTCCTCTTCCTCTTCCTCCTCCTCCTCCTCCTCCTCCTCCTCCTCTCCCTCCCCCTCCTTCCCACCACCACCACCACCACCACCATCATCATCATCATCATCATCATCATCAGCAGCATCAGCATCAGCATCAGCATCAGCATCAGCATCAGCATCATCATCATCATCATCATCATCATAATCATCATCATCAGCAGCAGCGTCAGCACCAGCATCATCAACATCATCACCATCGTTAGCATCATCATCATCAACTTCAGTATCGTCATCATCAGCAGCATCGTAAGCAGCGTCATCATCATCAGTATCATCATCACCATCATCATCCTCATCACCATCATCATCACCAATATTTTCACCATCATCATGCTCATCATCATCCTCCTCCTCATAATCACCATCATCATCAACACCATCATCACCATCAACATCACCATGATCATCACCATCATCATCGCCGTCACCATCATCTTCAGCATCATCACCCTGGTTGTTCTTAAAGCGCGCAGGGTGTTTTTTTCACTGTTTGAAAGTTGGGCTCTTGGCCAACTAAACTCTGACAAAAAACGCGTCGGTGTTTTAGGGTGTTTAGCTAAATGGTTTTAGCGTTTTAGGCCCGTCACTATGGATCATAACCCACCGGCCCCCTTGTGGGGCCACCAGGCTGTAGGCCGGAGGTTTGCAGTTTCCTGTACCAGTTGCAGCTTCCAGTTTCCACTGTTACAATTCTGCTTCTTGCTGCTTACTGTTCCTTGTTGACTTCTTGCTGCTTACTGTTCCTTGTTGATGGACCGCGCGAGGGGGGAGGCCCTAAACGCGCATTTTTACTACGGAGAAATCGTATTGTCTGAATTGCTGGGGTGAGTAAAAATTAAAACCCCTCACGCAGATCGGCGGGGTCAGGGTTCAAAAACACATGGGATTTGCCACATTTCAGAAATCCGGTGGCACCCCTCACGCAGATCGGCGGGGACAGGGTGCAAAAACACATGGGATTTGCCACATGTCTGAAATTCGGCGGCACCCCTCACGCAGATCGGCGGGGTCAGGGTGTAAAAACACATGGGATTTGCCACATGTCTGAAATTCGGTGCCATCTCTCACGCAGATCGGCGGGATCAGGGTGCAAAAACACATGGGATTTGCGACATTTCTAAAATTCGGCGGCACCCCTCACGCAGATCGGCACCCCCTCACGCAGATTCGGCAGGATGTGCCACTTTTCTTGAAATTCGGCGACACCCCTCACGCAGATCGGCGGGGTCAGGGTGCAACAACACACAGGATTTACCACATGTCTTGAAATTCAGCGGCACTCCTCACGCAGATCGGCGGGGTCAAGGAACAAAAACATATGGGATTTGCCACATTTCTAAAATCCGGCGAGACCCCTCACGCAGATCGGCAGGGTCAGGGTCCAAAAACACAATCGGTGGCACTGCTCACGCAGATCGGCGGGGTCAGGGTGCAAAACACAAAGGACTTGCCACATTTCTAAAATTCGGTGCCACCCCTCATGCAGATCGGCGGGGCCAGGGTGCAAAAACATATGGGATTTGCCACATTTCTGAAATTCAGTGGCACCTCTCACGCAGATCGGCGGGGTCAGTGTGCAAAAACACATGGGATTTGCCATATCTCTGAAATTCGGCGGCACCCCTCACGCAGATCGGCGGGGTCAGGGTCCAAAAACACAGAGGATGTGCCATCTTTCTGAAATCCGGCGACACCCCTCCCGCAGATCGGCGGGGCCAGGGTGCAAAAACATATGGGATTTGCCACATTTCTGAAATTCAGTGGCACCTCTCACGCAGATCGGCGGGGTCAGGGTGCAAAAACACGGATGTGCCACTTTTCTTGAAATTCGGCGACACCCCTCACGCAGATCCGTAGGGTCAGGGTCGAAAAACAAACAGGTCGCGACACTGCTTCACGGCGGCGCCCAGACCTCATGATTTAGCTTTTGCTTCTCCCATTATTCGAGAGAGGGGGCCGGCGGCTGGGGGCGAACCCCTTACGGATTGCTCCTTGTGTTCCCTGCTGTCTTCACTTCCGCTTTCTCGTTTCTGACGCCGTGCTTCCCTCTCAGAGCGAAAACCGCTATAAAACACACTGACACGGGCTACCACCATCCCGAAACCGGCCCGGAGGCTCGATGGCCCCAAGGAGGGGCAATTTGCCATCGGGCCCTGAGGCCCGACGCCCCAGCCAGCAGCGAGACCAACAGAAGAGCATAAGGAACAATAGCAACTATAATACAAAAACAAGGAATACTGCAGGCCAGGAGAAGGGACTGAGGACGTCGTAGATGGTAGTGTTATACTATGCAGTCTACTGATCTGAAACGCTGACAGAACATAGCTAAAATGGAGCATGCAAAACAACATGGTTTGTTGCTGTGTCGTTTTAGTGTTTTCTGGCTGGGACCTTGAAGCGCAAACCAATAATTCCTAACACGCCGAGTTAGAAAAAACAGTAGAAAGACGCCCTGGGCACATAAAAAACCCAAGATCCTTATTCTCATCTTCATCCTCGCCCCCATCACCATCACCATCACCATCATCACCATCATCATCATCATCATCATCATCATCATCATCATCACCACCATCATGCCCTGACGATGGTATTTCCGAGGCCCACCATCACCATCAACAACAACAGCAGCATCATCAGCAACATCAGCATCATCATCACCAACACCATCATTATCAGCAGCAGCAGCCGCATCTTCATCACCATCATCATCATCATCATCACCATCATCATCACCATTAGCATCATCACCACCATTACCATCATCAGCAGCCTCATCATCATCATCATCATCATCATCATCATCATCATCATCATCATCATCATCGTCGTCATCGTCATCGTCATCGTCATTCTCGTCATCGTCATAGGCATCGTCCTCGTCATCGAAATCCATCGACATTATGGTCATCATCACCATCATCATCATCATCATCACCACCATCACCATCATCATCATCACCACCACCACCAGCATCATCCGAATCATCAACATTATCACCCGAAGGCGCGCGCGGTGGAGGATCGGGGCGACAACCAAGCCGCTGGAACTCAAAGCGCCGCAACGCCAAGTCGGCGCCAAGATGCCACGGCGCACCCAAGATTCCGCAGGCTCGGGGTGACGCAAACGGGCGCAAGTAGCGAAAACCACGCTGACCTTGCGGAAGCCAAAAGAGCAGGACGCGGCAAAGGCTGCGGCCTCAGCGGCAGGGCCCCCTTCACGGCGCACCGTCACCCAGGAAACAAAAACGGGAACCCAAGGTGGGCAGCATTCAAAACAGATGGTCTCCTAGGGCCCCCCCGCCACGCCACTGCGGGGTTCTTACGGCATCCCAGCGCCCCCCATCGGACTCCAGAAGGCCATTCCCAAATATTCCCCGGCGCCACCAAGAGGGACCCACAAAAAGGAAACCTCGTCAGTCCCCCAGCCTCTCCCCATCGGGCCCCATGAAGTGTCCTTTCATTGCCTCCCGCCCACTCCCGGAATTCTCACCCCTGGGGTCCCAAGCGAACACCGCCTTCCGACCTGCTGGGCCTTAAACAAGTGGAAGGGGCGGGGGGGGGATACGATTGGCGCCATGCCTGCCCATGCGCGCGCACTGCTTCGGGAAAGGCACCATGCATCTGAGATATTGATTGGGGCCGCTCCCCCGGGAGGAGGGGGAGAGGAGGAGGAGGAGGAGGAGGAGGAGGAGGAGGAGGAGGATTTGATTAAAGGGATAGAAAGAGAACGAGAGAGAGAGGGAGGTCAAGGCCGTGCGAGACCAAAGCCAAGAGCCGACAGAAAGAACGACACTGAAATGGACCGGCATCGAATGTACCGAAAGCGGCCGGGAGAGGCCCAGCGACGCAGCGACGACACAACACAGGGCCGAACCTAACCGAACCGACCGAACTCGACCGGCTGCGACGCAGCCGAACAGATCGAACCGCGGACAGAGAGAGAGAGAGAGAGAGAGAAAGAGGTCTCGCTGGCGGCGCGAGCCTGTAGGTCGCCGCCATGACGTGAGGATGCAGTCGGAGCCGAGGCGCCTCCCGAAGAAGGCAGCAGAGGGGAAGAGTCTGACACTTCTTGCCCGCGGCGCCAGCGGTCGCGCGGCGCGGGAGGGCCGAGGTCGGGCTGCAGCAGGGCAAACTGTTCGCCGGCAGAGAGGGGGAAAGGAAGAGAACGGCCGCGGAGAAGAACTGCGGGCGGGCAGCGGTGAGATTCAGACCTCCGGCGGCTCCGAAAATCGATCCGGCTGGTTGCGCTGCTCGGCCTCGCGACGGTCCGCTCCCGAGGGGCCCCTAGAGGGGGCCAGGAGGGCCCCAAGAGGGCGGCCAGGCCTGGGCAACGAAAGCTCGATACTAAAATACAGCCCCGAAAAGGGGGTCGAGAGCTCCTTTGGCCCATACCTCGTAAAGCGGGTCGCCAGATTGTTGCCGTCGTTGTTCGTCGTCGTCGTGGCCGTCGCCGCCAACACCGCTGCCATCGCCGTCGCATGCGCCCGCGCCCTCGCCTTCCGCCGCCGCCACCTTCGTCGCCAATTACTCGTCGTCCTCGTCAGTCGACAGCCGTCAGCCGTCAGTCGTCAGTCGTCAGTCGTCCTCGTTAGTCGTCAGTCGTCAGTCGTCAGTCGTCAGTCGTCAGTCGTCGATCGTCGTCGTCGTCGTCGTCGTCGTCGTCGTCGTCGTCCGTCGTCGTCGACGTCGACGATGACGACGACGCCCACGGCAGCGGCCTCCATGAGCCAAGGCCTCCGAAATCATCCGAAGGCCTCCTGGTGACGACAGCGACTCCCTTGCACGTCCTGGGGTGCCTTCTGGCCAGAACTTCAAGGCGGAACCGGCCGTGGCCATGAGGGTGCCCCACGAGACCCAGAAAGGTCACAAAAGTCAGACGAGATACCCGATCTTCGATCCCAGACCCTCGAAGACGGCGACGCGCGACCCCGTCGTCGATCCCAAATCCACGACGAAATCGACCCCAGGGGCATGTCCTGCGGTGCGCCCTGGCGAGAGCCTCGAGGAGCATCTGGCCGTGACGGCCATGGCGCCTCACAGGAAGGCCCAAAGACGTCGCCGACAACCTCGATCCTCGGGACGACGACGATAACGAGGACGAAGGCGACGACTTGACGACGCCGACGACGATGACGACGACTGGCGACGACGGCGACACGACAGCGGAGACGTCGACGACTGACGACGGCGACAGACGACAGCGGGGACGTCGACGAATGACGACGACGACGTCGCCGGCTGACGACGGCGACAAAACGTCCAGCAAGTCCGATGATCGAATCCTCGTGTTCTCGAGCCTGGAACCTCGATCATCCAACTTCGATCCTCGAAACTCGGATCCTCGAGTTCTCGACCCTGGACCCTCGATCCTCAAACTTCGATCCTCGACCCTCGAATCCTCGAGTCCTCGACCCTGGACCCTCGAACCCTCGAGCCTTCGAGCCTCCCGAACCCTCGAAGCCCCTCAGAAAGACGAGCGGCCAGCGGCAGACATACCGGCCGGCGGCGACGAGCGGCGGCCGACGAGCGGCCGACGGACGTCGAGCGGGAGCTTAACCATGCCGATACCGCTTTGGACGTTGCTTCGTGGGGGGTCTGGGATGTTCCAGTCGGGTCTGGGATGGTTCCGACGATGATGAGTTGGATTGTCGCCTCGCACTTAGCGAGGTCCGTGGTGATGAACTTACCATTTAGCACGTTTCGTGCTTGTGGCAGGAAAGACGTGACTGGGCGTTTTTTAATGGTTAATGCGGGGTCGACAAAAGGGGGGGCGAGGAACCATGCGCCTCACGTACCCATTTTGGGCCCCATATGCACCCTCTCTGGACCCTGAAGTGCACGAAAAGTGAAGCGTTCTTCACCCTCCAATTTCTCGTCCCCCCATTACGCGACGCCCGACCGCTACTCTCCTGGCCTCTCCCAAATTTCGCTCGGACCAGACTCTCGGGGCGAATCCAGCCGTGGCGACGAGGCCTCCCGGGAGGCCCAGCATGACGAACAATACATGAAACCTAAGGGTAGCGGTATCGGTGCATGTTCCTCCTGTGATAGAAGCTTCCCAGTCCGAGTAGGTGGGGTCCGAGGATCACGCCGCATCGCCGATGCGTCGGCGACGTCGGCGATGCATCGGCGCCGTCGGCGTGGAGAAATTATGGCTCCAAATCGAGCCGCAACGTCGACGCATCGGCGATGCGGGGCGACCGTTCGGTCCCATCCACGGGTCCCCCAGGAGGAGGCCCAGATTCAAAGCGGCCCCACATGGCGAAACACGAGTCAAGGGCAACGGAATCGGCACAACTGCCTGCTCTGAGCCGACGGCCGAAGCCTCGGGACGGCGAGCGGCGCTGAAAGAGACGCGGCCGAGGCCTCCACGGGGCCCCCCTCGTCGCCCGAACTGCCGCAAGCCGCCGCGGCGGCCAGCAGCGCGGACGGGAGCCCGGCAAGACGCAGGCACACCTGCAAGGGGGGGTCTCGCCGTCGTCGTCGTCGTCGTCGTCGTCGTCATCGTCGTCGCCCGCGACAACTATGGCGACACACGACGCCGGCCGACAAGGACGACACGTGACGACGGAGGATGCTGGCTGCGAAAACGGTGGCGGCGACGGCGAAGGCGACGATTCTTGGATCGGGGAGTCGAGGTAGTCGCCGTCATCCCGAAAGTTCAGTTTTGTCCTCCTCCTCATTCCCCCACGCGAAGGGGTCGCTCCCTGGCAGAAGCGTTCGTCCCTGGGTTCGTTCCCTGGCGGAAAATGGAAAGCTCCGAGAGGTCTGTCCCACAGCCGAGAACTGTACAGAATGTTCCCTTGTGTGGGACATTTTCGAAGTTTCCCAGAGACGTTTGACAAAAAAAAAAAAGAAAAAAAAAAAAAAAAGAAAAAAAAAAAAAAAAAACGTGGGCCTTCATGCTTTACTTCCACGGCGACCATGTACGGCGTCGCCCATGATAGCAGACATGATGTTGGGGAACGGACCCAGCAACACTGCGATGCTGATGGTATAGCTGATACCCAGGAATCATAATCTGAACAAGCTTTCAAAAAAAAACTTCTCACAGTTTTTGAATTAGCTGCTCAGAGGCCGTTCGCAGGCTCTACACATGTTTTCAAACATACTCCTGGTGAACCTGAAGATACTGCAGGATCATCCGAGTATTTTTCAAAACCCCGCAGGAATCCCTCGCACGAGGGGATCGCCCAGCAGCGGTAAGGGCCAACAGTACATCCTGGAGCAGATCAAGAGCCACCTGCGCCTGACGACGTGGACCAGCCACCTCCTCCACAGGCAACCATTGAACCACCTCGGCGATGGAAAATGAAGCAAGCAGTGGATCCAAAGTCGCTTGATCAAGGTAGTGGTGCGACAGTGGCTCAGTTGCCCGAGCGCGTAACATCCGAGGAATCTGCACAGGCGATCAATGTAATATCGCTCTCAGACTGCAGAGCAAACTGTCGCACGTACCTCGGGATGACGTGCTTCGGTCTTCTCGTCGAGGAGGGTATGGCACGGTTATTATAATAGTTGTGGCAGCGATTCCTTCCAAGCGCGTAGACTGTATAAGGTGTCGACAACATCCTACTCAGCTTCAGCTTGGAACCACTGCGAGTCCACAGTTTCATTCCATATTGCGCACTGTGTTGTGGTTCGTATAGGACATGACTGTCACGGCCGTTGCTGATGAATGCATCAGCTACGCGCTCGCCGCTCGACACACTAGACGAATGTATGGATACAACATTCCATCAGCGGATACATGATTTCGGACCTGCGCGACGGCTTCTTCCGGATCAAGAATGGCTTGAAATTGCAAACCTGAAGTCCTGCGAGCACTTCTCGATGAACAGAGCTTAGAAGGAGTCAAGGTCATGCTGCAGCTCCACAGCGTGATCGTCGCATCCAGATTTACGCATCGGCAACGCGAAGTTGTGGGCTACGGCTCAGGAACAAGGCTGGGATGTCAGCTGTGAGCCGGGCATCGAAGAGTGCTGCATGACAGTCGATCGTTCTCTACGTTGTGGTGGAGACAAGGGGGCAACAGCATTTGCAAGGGTTCAGCCTCGAGTGCTCTGCGACTTCGAGAGCCCTGGTCTAACGGCGCAGCTTGGCATCCTGAAGAGCGCCTCGACGCAGCGGGGATCTCGCCGCGGCCTCGCGCGGCCGCCGTCGATGCCGCCGCCACAGGGGATAGGATTGCCTAGCGCGCGACGCGCGAGTTCCAAAGCGCGCGCCAGAAAATGCAGCGAGGCTTGTGAACGGGGCCAAAATTGACGCGCGGCGGGGGCCCGATGCGAAATGCGACCCTGCAGGGAGAGGGGCAGCTGACCGTGCCTGACCACAACAAAACGCGCCAGAGAACAAAATGATGTCATCCTGCCCTTGGTATCCAATGCTGGCGCCGCTTCGCCGCGTGAGGCCTCGCATCGGCTTCGCGCGGTTCCTGCGTCGTGACGCGGATGCTTACATAATAGGTTTTGAGTTCGCGAGCTCGGTTGAGCAGTTGACCCCCCCCCCCCCTCCCCCAGCACTCCGCAAAGCTTCGGCAAGTTGTTCGATGAGTCTGAAGGCCAATTCTCGCTCGCGCCTCCAGACCTATATGGGGCGGAGCCGAAGATGTGCGCCATTGCCGAGATTGCGGCCTTGAGCGCGTCGCCTGAGAACGACGTCGGCGGCGTTCAAGGTCGGCGCGCAGCGCGAGAGGGCAACTTCGACTCAATGAGCTCGATGGGGAAATTTGGTATTGTGGAATCGAAATAAATGGGGAAATGCGCGGTCACGGAGCTGCCTGCGAGCGTCGACGTCGCGAAAGCATAGCATGCTCTCATTGCCTTCGCCCGCGTCGCCCTGAAAAACGCCTCCGATAATGCGACGCGCCCATTTCCGACGCCCGTGCATCGTTGGGGGGGTTGCCGCGGCTCGAAAAGGCGACGATAAACAGCGATCTCGCTATCAAATAATTCGGCCTTGACAACGTGCAAAGCACTGGGTGAATATGCCTGCGCCCCAACCCAGCCGTCGAAAATCTAGCCGCGAGATCGCGCGGCCCGAGTCGCTAAGGCTCCGGCGGCAAATCGCACGACGACGCCGACAACGACGATCACTACGAGAAATCGCATGGAAATTTGAGGTCGGGCATCAGGGGGTTTGCCAGGCTGGCCCGGGTGAGTGTTAGAGGGGGCCGCCTTTCTCGCGCCCCCGCGCAGGCGCGCGCCGGCGAAACGCGGAAGGCGAAGAGGGGAGGGGGGCGAAGAGGGCGACGGGGGGAGGAGGGCGCAGGGGGGCGGGGCGGAGGGCGGCAGAGAAAAGAGGCGAGGCCGGGGGGGGGGGAGAAAGAAAGTGGACGGACGGAGGAAGAGGAGGAGGAAGAGGGGGGGGGCAATGGGGGGGGGCGGCCGGGGAATATATAGAGCCCAAAAAAGACGTACGCGCCCAGCTATGCACATGAACGCGGCCCCTTGACCCGCGAGACTGGCCGCGTGATGCGAACATTCGCGCAATGCGAAAATCTCGAAAGCAGTGTGGATTCATGTACGCGCACGCCCTTCTTTCGCTCCTGAGAATAGGGAATAGGAGGGGGGGTGGGGGGGGGAAGAGGAAGGGGAGGGCGAAGGCGGGTTCGGAGGTGGGGCGAGGCTGACGAGCAGGGGGCGAATCAAAAAGCCCCCCCCCTCTTCCTGCCCCCCCCCTCCCCGACGAAACTTCCAGGCGGCCTTCCTGGCTCCGGCGGTCGCGAACCAAACGTTATGCGCGGCTGGTGCGCCGCCGCCGATCCGGGGGCCTTCGCGGCGCCGGGGGGGGTCGCGGCCTTCCGGGGCCTTCCGGGCGGTTAAACCAAATCTGATTATGAAGCCTCGCAGGAAATTATGCTGCAAGCGGGCGCGCAAAATAAATGTTGGCGATGCTTCGAAGTAATAGTATTTCGTTGACCCACCTTCCGGGCCACCTTTTGGGCCGCCTTCCGGGGTAACTCCCGGGCCGGAAGGGCGGCGCCGTCGACGCCGGCCGACGCTCGCGAGCGCCGCCGGGCCACGCCGAAAATCGGTCCGACGCCTCCGGGCGCCGCCCTCAGGGCGCCACCTCCCGGGCGCGCTCGCGCCCGCGACGGGGCGGGCAGGCGGGGGGCGCGGGGAACGAGGAGGCAGAACGGGGCCGGAAGCAGGCGCGAACGAGGAAGTGGGGGGGGGGGGCGGGGGGGGGCGAGGAAGAGGGGGGGGGGGGATGGTGCGAATGGATGGGTAGGGGGGGGGGGTGGAACAAGGGGGGGCGAAAAAGCCCGGCCTTGAGCCCCCCGCCACCGCCGCCGGAGGGCGCTCGCGAACCGAGGGCCCGCCGCGAAGCGACGACGACGACGGCGACGACGGAAGAGACGACGACGGCGACGTTGCCGGCGCGCGCGGCCATTCCGAGGCGGGGCGAAACGAGGGCGCGGGAGATTGTCGGAAACAAAAAAAAAACACAAGACCCAGATGGGTGAACCACGAAGAAAGTTGATAGCAAAACTGGCAAAACAACGAAAAGAGGCCGCGGACGAGCAGCACCGCGGAGCCAAAGCGACGGCTCAAAAAAAACAAGTGCTTGAAATGACGCTGCGTAACCTTGATTTCGGTGATCTTGCCGACTGCCATCGCGGCGAAGGCTGACGAGGCAATTTTCATGGCGGCGACTGCAGTTAACTCCTTGAACCCATTCTGGGGGACAACATTCAGTCAACCACTTCCCATTTATATATGTAAATTAAAATGCATATATATAACTGTTGGTCGGCGTTCTCCAAAGCAACGCGGGCGCGGGCAGTGGGCTCATGGCCCACGGCAAGTTTATTCGCGTTTGCTCGTGAATTTCTCCCAGGGCAAAGATGAGGCTAGTTCGTCGCTTGAACTGGAACCGGACCTCGGCGGTGCGCCCTGGGCACTGGGGGCAAGATGATGCGGCAATCTTCTTCGTGGCCGTTCGGGCCTCGGGGCGGTGGGCGCCGTCGAATGCGCCGCCGGCTCCGGACTATCGGGCGCCGTCGACCTGGCCGGTGCGACGATTGCCGGCACCGGCGGGGCTGCCTCCAACGCTTCCTCAGCAACCTGCAAAAGCTGGCGCCGCCGCGTCACATGAGAGCACAATGCTGGAATAACTTATGCCCCCGCAAGCCCCGCCAGCTCCGCCAGCGCCACCGACGCCGCCGGCGGCGCTGCGAAACGTCCAAGCGGCTTCGAGCACGCGGCGGCCCCCGCCACAGACGCCGCCACTTCAACCTAGGGTTCCGTGGCCCCCTGATCGAATGCCCGAACGCGCAGCTTCTCCGCAAGCTCCAGCGGCGCCGAGTACGAGGATGATTCCTCGGAGTCCTTTGCCGCGTCTATCGCCATGTGGGCGGTCCTATCCCAGGCGAGAACGTTGGTCGACGGCTCTCAGATGTGCAGCTCGGCACTTCAGGAGCTGAATGCGCTGGCAGCCCTGACAATCGCGTTGACGGATGCTACGTGTTCCAACTGAAGCAGAAAGACCACGTCATCTACTACCTCCACGTGCAAGGCAACGATCAACGACTCTGCCAGCATCAGTGCCAGCGCCAGCAGCACCCCCGACAATTCCACCAACTGTGGCGACGTCAGCACTAGCTCCGCTAGCTCCGACTCCACTTCCGACGACGTCTCCGGCGTCAGACGCGCCTCCGAGCAGGCCCGAGGCAGTGCTGGGTGCTACTGCGCAGCCAGCATCGACATCCGCAGCAGCATCGGCAAATACCTCGAAAAAGAAAGCGCGTGGACAGCTCAGCTTGTCTGTCTCCAGACCAGAAAGCACCGTGACTGAGCGCCGACGGCCGCCGGGGCATGCCTTGAGGTCACAGAGCAGTCGACTTCAGGAGGGGAAGCGTCGTCGTCGGGTCCGACCCTGACAGACGCCTGGAATATTTAGATGAGACGCTCGACAAGACCACCAAGTGCGACAACTTCGCGGCAAGAGACCTAGACAGCCTTAGCGGACTACCGTATCTTTCGTTGCAGGGCGGCACCGAACGGAACGCGAGAACGACTGCGCTGTGGATTCCGTGAACCATGCCATTCACGACGCCAAAATAGGCGTCTGCCCGAGCTGGATCATGTCTAGTCCTTCTCGGAGGTCATGGCGTTTGTAATGACCGGGGATATGATGAAAGTTCCAGCATGCCCAGTTAGGAAGCACCACCGCCTGATAACGTCTCAAAGCTCGCTCTGACATCGGTCTCGGACAGCGCCGTTGATGGCCCCGGGGGTCGGAACTGGGCAGACTGGTCAAAAAGAACCGCGGAATGCCCGCGTTGCCGGAGAAACTTCCTGGACTGGTAGAAGACATGCTTCGTCTGGCGCAGCTCCACATCCTCGCGAAAATCCCATCACAAGGTTCCAGTGCGACCTACGTGATTGAGAACCCGGACATCAGCGCGGGCTGCTTGGAAGGCCCAGAAAATTTCAATATGCGGTCAAACATGCAGCCGAGCTCGGCCATGAGACGCGACAGATTCGTCGAGTTCGGTTCAGGCCGCCTCCGAATGCGTGGAGACACCTTCGTGAGATCGAAGACAGTGGCATCTGCGCCAACAACTCCGACAACTGCGAGCCCCAAGACGGCCCCAAGAGCGCCTAAGAGCGCTCCAAGAGCGCCCCACGAGCGCCCTACGAGGCGACTTTTGGGGCTCCCGAGGGAAAGCGCTAATCAATGCCCCCCTCTTGTTTGATCGATGTCCTCCAAGATGGCCCACAAAACGCGTTCAAGGTTTCCAAGAGCGCCTCAAGGGGGCTCCAAAAGAGGCGCCCAGGAGGCCCCAAGAGGCGCCCAACAGCCCTCCAAGAGGCTCCCGAGAGACCCAAGAGGCCCCTAAGAGGCTCCCCGAGACGTTCCAAGTGGCCCCCCGGGACCGCCAAGAGGCCCCCAAGACGCAAGAGAGGTCCAAAACGGCCCCAAGAGCGCCCAAGAGTGTCCCAAGATCGCTCCAAAAAGGACCCTTCATCTGCGTGCTGTCCACTTCCCCGATCGAGGCAAATCCTTTGGGCATCATCTCTGGATGGGCTGGTGGGGTTACATTTTTGGTCGCGGCCGCGGGCGAAAGCGCACACGGCGTGTCGTAAGACCGGGGCACAGGCCTACTAATTGACAACAGCAAACGAGAGCCGACACCTGAACAGCCCCAGCAGACTAAGCGGCGCCTCAGCTGGTGGGGTTACTTTTTTTTCGTCGCGGGCTCAAGAGAAAGCGCAGGCGCCGAGTTGAGCTGGTGGGGTTACGCGAAGCGTCTAGAACTTAGAATTTGTAACAATTTCACGGATGCGGATGAAGGGCGGGTCACTTTCAAATGCGGTTCTCGCCCTAGCTCCGCGCACATTCGTTCCAAACGTTTGAAAGAAATTCATGGATGAAGGGCGGGCCGTTTCCAAAACGTGGCTCTCGCCGTAGTGCCGCGCACATTCGTTTGAAGACTTGACAGGAGCTTCACGGATGGAGGCCGGCTCACTTTAAAGGTGACCCTCGCCGTAGCGCCGCGCGCATTCGCCTTTCAAGTTTTCATGGGTGCAGGGCGGTTCCTTTTCAAAATGTTGCTCTCGCCCTTGCGCCGCGCACAGCCATCTCAAGAGTGTACAGCAGCTGCAAGGATTGTTGTGGTTGACGTCCCAGACATTGAGTTTTGGCAAGCTGTACGACTGTCAGGGCGCTACAATCACGTTGACTCGCGGTATTGAAGTTCCAATGGCGGCGTTCGGGCACGAATCGGGTCGTCAATACACAATAGTACTTAACGTCAATATGCGGCGTTGAAGTCTCAATAATGCTGCTTTGGCATGGCTCGGGATGTTGGCAACGGTTGTCATTCAACGGGGCACTTCCCACAGTGGAAATAAATCCTGTACAGGAGCATCTGAAAAGGAAACCCGAGAGGGTGCATTGCAACACCGTTGGCGAGTCTTGGGTTTACACTGGTCCTTCCTCCTTCTCCTCCTCCCTTTGCTGCTCTCCTCCTCTTTCCTCCTGCAAGCAGGGGGGCAATGGGTCATGTCCATCCAGTAGTAGGAGGAGAGAGAGAGAGAGAGAAAGTGAGAAAGAGAGAGGGAGGACCAGCTAGCTGCGATCGCGCCATATCTGACATCCTACACCTCCCCCCCGTCATGGGTGTCGCACCTAGAACCGCCCCAATTCTCCAGTCGTGTAATGCGCAATCTGAGAAGGGGAACTGAGTACATTGAAAGAAGTGGCAAACGAGCAGGAAGATGATCAGGAGGAAATGGAGGATGAAGAAAGAGGTGGACCAGGAGGAAAAGCAGCAGCAGTAGCAGGAGGAGCAAGAGGAGAGGGGAAGGGAGCAACAACCACGAGGAAACAATCGGATCTGGAAATGTGGACCGCGCTGGGGCTAGAGCGCAGGGAGCAAAGCGCCGATCCTGAAATAAGGCAATGCTGCATCGGGAACTCCATATTAACACACCGAAAAGTTGGTTCCAATGGGACACAACAACAACGACACTTCGAACCCTGTTTAAACAAATGCACGGAGAGGGCGGGATACGTCCAGGAGGACGAGGAGGAGGACGGAGTGTGGAGGAGAGGAGAACGAGGAGGGGGAGGGGGAGGATGACGGAGTGTTCATACTGACGGAGTGTGGAGGAGGACGAGGCGGAGGGGGAGGAGGAGAGGAGAAGGGGCAGAAGGGGGAAGATGGATGGGGGAGGGCTCGTGTTTCTGGTGACCTAGGTCACCCAACTTCCCGCATTGCGCATCGCGCATCGCGAATATCTTCGCGCCATCGCGCCGCCCCCTTGGGGAAGAGCAACCGCTCCGGCCCAGATCGCGACGCGCGAAGCGGGGTTTCCTTGGCGCCCTCGAAGGTGACGTCACGCCTTCGCGGGTGACGTAGTGAACTGCCGATGCACGGAAGGTGCGCACGGCGCTCTCAGGTTTTCTTCCATAAAGGAAGAAGGTGGACGAGATGAGGGGGAATACGTGCATGATGGTCGAGGAGGAGGGCTAGTGTCCAAATCAACGGTTTTGGTGATGGGCTGCCGATGAACGGGGGGAATCGCGCTCATCCATTCCGTGCAGGGGAAATGGGGAAGGAGGAGGAGGAGGAGGAAGACGAGGAAGGTGGAAGATAGCGCGTGCCCGTAGTCATGTTTTTTGGTAATGGGTTGCTGCTGCAGGTTGAGGGGGGGCTCGCAGCTTCGGTGGCGGGCTCAACTCAAGGTCGGTCGGCGTGGAAAAGAAGCCTCCCTCTGAGAGATAGAGCGAGCACCAGAATCCTGGGAGCTGAAGAAAGCAGCCGGCGTCGACACGTTAGTGTCGAGGTCGGGCTCGCACGGGCCAGGTGGTATATATCCGCCGTGCCCCCTTGCACTTTGAGGCGTGTTAGAATCATGAAGGCTAATTCGTGTTCTGTTTGTAAGCCTTCCAAGTCCCACCCTCACATCCCGCATCGCTGCATGCTCCGCCCCCCCTCCACCGATCCCCTCTCCCCCCCTCCTCATCCCCCTGTTACTCCTCCTCTTACCTATCCTCATCATCATAATCATCTTAATGTTACGTTCCAGCACCGAATCGGCGCAGGATGACATGCGATATGTCACGGTTCACCCAAACCTCGTGGCGCGAGATGTCACGTCTTACGTCTTTCTGTCAATCGCCACCCAAGGTGCGTGGCTGGTGGGGCGGCGGGACTTGCCGCAGGAAACTGGATACAAGCAATGATCGAATGTCCGTGCGAGACGCGCTTCAGCTGATGCACTTACACAGGAAACACTGGCTGAAAGCCACAACTTGTTCACTTAACAAAAACCTATCACGCCGTCTGCATCCGGGTCGCGTCGTCCTGCCTTTGTCTGAGCGCATTCTTCGCCCTGTTCCCCCGGAACGCGGCCTGGATCTGGGTCGCGTTGTCCTGCTTCTGTCTGAAAGCCTCTGCCAAAGAGACCAACCAAAACGGGATTTCCAACCGTGGCGTTGGACCCGAAATCAGCGAGCGAGCCAGGAAAATTCGAAACAATGTTTCGCTCAATTCGGAAAACCTCAAACGTCACGACCAGAAACGGAAAAGGCCCCTCGAACGGGAATCCGGGTCAACACTGAATGAGGTCAATTAAGGCCACGTCCCGGATCCCATCCAGCCGCGTAGTAGATCTAAAACCTGGATCAGCGGAGGGACCGAAAAGAGGTGAGGAGGTGACGGCTCCACCTGGCTCCCAACCGCAGGTCAGCCAGAGGGCATTGGTGGGCGGTGTTTTATTCTGGGTTTCGACATTTGATCGAAGGGTGGGTGAGGGGGGGTCTGGGCCTGGGCCGGTACTCAACCGATCTGCTTCTGCCAGTCGCGGATCCAGAGTGGGAGGGGACCTGACAAATCGCCAGACGCAGCCGCCAAAAGCAACCAAGATCTGGTCCATGGTGGTTGTTTTTTTTTCCCTTCCCGGGTAGCGGCCGTTACCCTGGGGGGGGGGGCTCGGGCGGGAGGGTAGCGGGAACGGCGGCCGCGGCGTGCGTCCGCCAAGGTGCGTCCGCGCCACCGGCGCATCAATCGCCTGTGTGCACCGCACTCCCCGTGTATACGACGGCGCCCAATGCCTTCGTGTAACACAGCGCCAGCTGTGTACACACCACAGTGCTTCCGGACACCACACAACAGCCGCGTGAACTGCAACACCACGTCGCCCATGCACACCGCAATGCCTGTGTATACTGTAGCAGCATATGTTTAGAATAAGATTCTACAAACGATCGGTTGCTTATAATAGGAGTATTAAAAGAATCCTTATGGAAAATAGAACGCCCTTGGATTCCACAAAACACAATTCTCTATATTCTATTTGTTTACAAACCGCTCCGGAAAGCGGAGCGCCTCTGAATTCCCCAAAAAGACATTTGCTTGATAAAGGAATACATCTGAAGTTTGGGCGCCTTTGAAGTCCACAAAACACAAAAATTAGATTTATACATCTTGAACAAATCCCTTTGGAAATTGGAGCGCCTGAAGGTTCCACGTTACGCGCGTGCACCACAACGCCTGCGTGCACCACAACGCCTACGTGCGCCACAACAGCCGCGTGCATCACAGCGTCGGCGTACACCACAATGCCTGTGTGCGCCACATCGCTCGCGTACACCACAACGCCGGTGTACACGGCAGCAGCCGTGTGCAACGCAGCGCTGGTGTGCACCACTCTGCCTGCCTGCGTGAACCACGGCGCTTGCGCACACCACGGTGCCCACGGGAAAAGGGTCTATAATCAATACGTGCAGTATGGACGGGTGGCAAGGACGCAGGACCCTTGGAAACCGAACTTGTTTTTTTGTTTGTAAAAGCTGGCCAATGAAAGCGGCAAAGGACAAGCCGCAGAGGCAAGGACACAAGAGTACCCTAGAGAAGGCGCGCGTCCTTCTTTGAGTAACTGTCAAGCAATCGGAACCGAACCCACCGCGCCCCACGAGGGTAGTCAGGGTTGGCTGCATCATGTGTTACGGTGTTGCTGTCATGCAATGTGTTTGGTCGGTCCAAAGTTTTATACTGTCGTCGCCCAGCGATGCAAACAAACAATGCGTTTTGTTGCGCGCCTGGCAGTTCTGTAACACTATAAGCGCGCCTCACGCATACTTGTGGTGAAGTCGGTTTTGTGGAATGTCTACAGCGCCGCGCGTGGGTCGCCCAAGATCGGGGCTGACGGTGAATGCACTTCCCATGCTAAGCTCAAGAGCAAGCGCTTCGCAAGTTGGGCATGACTTACATTACCAACCGCTCAAACGCCAAACTCGTCTTCTTTTAAGTGCGCAATTCTACACATTCGCGGGCACACTTCACGACGAACCCCACATATATTCACATTTCACATATATTTACTCTTGCCAAGCAACCAATCCTTTTCATAACGCAATTCGCATACAACACACACACACACACCAGCACATCGGGTGCGAATGCGGATTATGCCACAAAAACATTCGGTGCACCCCCCCGGAGGCCGCGAGCCGCGCGAAGACTGCGCTGACTCCAGGCGGCAGCGCGCGGCCTGTGCTACGAGGGCCTTCGGTGGAGCGCCCCATGACGCCGCGAACCGCAAGAAGAAAAACTGCAATCGTTTGGGCGGCGGCAAGCGGCCTGTGCTTCAAAAGCCTGTGGTGACGTTCTCTATGGGGCCACGAACCGCGCCAGTGCTGACATAGTCCAGGTCGCGCAAAGCGACCTGTGACACAAGGGCTAGTGGCGGGGTTCCTTATGGGACCCTGAACTGCAATAGCTATCAACGGAAATAGCCTGGCCAGCGGCATACGGCCTGCACCGGAACAACGATCTTCGATCGAACTCCATATGGGGCACCGAACTGCGGGGGGTGCTGGATTAGATTGGGCGGCGGCTAGCAGCCAGCGCGAAAAAAACATTCGGCGCAGCATCCTGTGGAACCAAAAACCGCGTGAGAGACTGCTGCAATGCTCTCGATGGCGACGTGCGCTGCGTGCAACAGAAGCCATCGGTGCAAACCTCTATGAGGCAACGGTGCGCGCAAGAATTGCGTTGAACATGTCAGGTCGGCGGCGCGCGGTTTGCGAAACAAGCACAACTGCGGCCGAACTCCCTATGCCTATGGCGCCACGAACCGTGTGAATAAAGAACTGAAGCGGTCTGGGCGGCGGCACGCATGTTGCCAAATGCTTCGGCGGGGCTCCCTTCGGAGCCACGAACTGTGTGAATAAAGACTTCGGGTGGACTGGGCGGCGGCATGCGGCCTGTGTTACAAAAGCCTTCGGTAGAACTCCCAATGGGGCCGCGAACTGCACGAGGGGAGAACTGGAATGTCTGGGCGTTGGCAAGCGGCATGCGCTGCAAAGGCCTTCGGTGTTACTATCCCACGGGGCCGCGAACCGATCGAGGGGCGCGCTGACATGGTTTGGGCGGCAGCACGCATCCTTTGCTACAAGAACTTTCGGTGCAACCCCCTTTCTGGGGCCGCGAACCGCGCGGGGCGCGTGCGGAATTGGCATCGGGCAGCGGGAAGCGGCCCGTGGTACAAGATCCTTCGGTGCAGTCCTATGGGGCCACGAATCGTTCGAACGGCGCGCGGAAATTGCATTGGTGGAGACTCCTGAGCGAAAACCCACCACCCAAGAGAGAAGAGGATAGATGATGACGGATTGAAACGGTTTGGAGGAGGAGGAGGACGAGGAGGCGGCGGTAGAGGAGGGGGAAGGCAGGCGATGAGGCGTTCAGCGATCTGGTTTCTCAACGAAGACCCAACAGACAGGAGGATTAAGACACAAACTACGGCCTCCAAAAGCTCCTTCACAACACGCTTCGGATGGTTCAAATGCCTCCGCGTCGCTCCCAAAGCATGCGAACGGCGGCGCGAAGGCAAACAGAGTCCGCTGCAACGCAGTCCAAAGGCTTCCAAATCGGCCCATCGATCCCCCATGGGGCACCAGGGAGTCGCCGGGATGCCCACCGAAAGAAAAAACACAAAATCCGAATGTGGCACTGCTACAAGACATCAAAACAGCTCCAGGACGGCCCACTGCAGGCACCGCTCAGGCTCCACCAGCTCAGTCTCGCGCGCCCAGTGTGGCGCAATCTGGAAGCAGCATCGGTTGACTCTCCCGACTGCACCCCGAACGACACGACAACTCTGGGACCCAAACAGCGCTTTGGACCCCCAGTCGCAACGGAGTCGAAAGCCCCCGGGGGCCCTGTCGAGCCCGTGCCAGGCCCCCCCGGTCATGTCCCAAACCACTGCCGAAGGAAATCCAGACCCACCGCCGCGGGAGCGCCCATGGGGGCCGCGGTGGGTTCGGACTCCCCTCGGCAGTCTTCTCATATGTGTTAAAAGCGATGCCGAGGGAATCCAGATCCACCACGGGGGGGGGTCCGGACCCACCACGGGCCCATGGGGGCCTTCGCGGAACCTCCCATGGGCTCCCCTGCAACCCCTCTGGCCCCCGCCCCCAGCCCTGCCCGCCGCCCCCGTCTCTGCCCCTCCTACCCCCTCCTTTCTGCTCCTATGCCCCCCTCGTTGATCCTTCCTCCAATGCCGTCCGCACACAGTGTCAGCTCCGAACCCCGCCAGATTACAATGTAACCGGGGGGTATTGCTCGCCCAAAGATTAAAACAGCCTGGTCCGAGCGAGCGCCAATCATCGGAGGCGCCCCTCGCCCGCATCATCTTTCAACTCATGACTTTGGTCATCGCTCCGTCCCATCGTGCTGGCGCATATTTTCCGTTTCTCCCCTTCTGCCCCTCCAAAATAAAATAAACCTTGCGAAACAGCCAACCATTCCGGAACGCAGTGCAGCAAATAAGCAAGGCAGCCCGACACGCACGAGCACATTGAGTCCGCATGCGAAATCTACCACAAGGGCCTTCGATGGAGCTCCCCATGAAACCGCCAACCGTGTGAAAAATGAGATGACATAGCATGGGCGGCGGCGAGCAGCCTTCGCCGCAAAATTCTTCGGTCAAAACTCCGTATGGGCCCACAGACCGTGCGAGGCAGCGCTGAATTGACCTGGGTCGGCTGCGCGCGGCCTGCGCTCCAGATTTGGCTACTGAACACGAGAGCGATGCTGCTGGAATGGCTTACGCGGCGCACTGCAGCACGCGCCGCCACAAACGCCTTCGGCGGGACTCCATATGGGGACACGATATGCGAGGGGCGCGTGCTCAATGGTCTGGGCGGCGGCGCACGGTTTGTGCCCGAATACCTTTTCACTGGAGTTTCCGAATGCGGCCACGGATCGTGTGAGGACAACTGAAATGGTCTGGGCGGCGGCGCGCGGCCTGTGTCACAAACGTCTTCGGCGGAACCCTTTTTTTAATGGTGCCGCGGAACACATGGCAATCGACCTGACATGGTCTGGGCGGCACCATGCGCCCTGCGCGACAAAACCCTTCGGGGGCTGCGTATGGGGCCGCGAACCGTTCGATGGGTTTGTTGCAGCGGTCTGCGCGGTGGCATGCGTTCTGTGTGAGGAAAAAAACATCATGTAGACCTCCCCGGGGGTGCGCGTATTGAATGAGCTGACGTTGTCTGGGCGGTGGCCAGCGGCCTATGCCTCAAGGCATCCAATGGCGTTCCCTATGGGGACACGAATGGCGTGGCGAATGCGACGAAATGGTCCGGGCGCGGCGCGCGGCCTGTGCCGCGGGGGGGGGTCGTCGATGAAATTCGAAAACTACTGAACCGCGAACCGCGAGATTGGCGGCCTCAAATTATCATGGTGGCGGCGTGCGGACTGCGCTCTGCGGGTTTTCGGTCGCTCCTCATAGGGGCCTCGAACCTTGCGAACATTGATCTGGAATGGTCGGGGAAGCGGCGCGCGACCACATCGCGTCGGCAGGGTTACGCATGGGGCCGCGACGCGCGCGATGGGCGTGCTAGACTGGTAGCGGCACCGGCATGCGGTTTGCACCGCAGGGACTTTCAACAACAAATCGCTCGGGGACAACGAGCAGCGCGCGGCGCGGAAGGCGCGCTGAGATTGCCTCGGCGCGGCCACAGGACGAAGGCACACCACGCAAGAGAAAAGGGGATGGGTGATGAGGAAACGAAGCGGAGAGAAAAACAAATAGGAGGAGGAAAGGAGTGGAGAGAAGAGCTGAAGGGATGAGGTGCGAAGCGCCGCAAATTCAAAGCGAGAACCTGAATCGCAGGAGGGCCGGGGACAAAAACGAAACAAACCGAGAAGCACCCGCGACAAGGGCGCGCGCGGCGCGCGCGCGCCAGGCAAACCAGCGGCACGCCAAGCACACGAGGCTCAGTGGCCACACTGGGCACAGCACGCGGACGAAACGAAAATCACAAACATGCAAGCCGCGCCAAACAGATAGCGGGACCACCTGCCAACGCGCGCGCACGACGCTGGCACCGCCCCTCGCTGCAAGGAGCCTCCGATCCGCGACGAGCCATCGCGAGGCCTCCAAGTCACCTCGCACTACATGTTTCTGGACAGTGGCGTTGGTTCGGAACGGGGCCCGGCTCTAGAGGGCGAGCGCGGACATGCAATTCCCTGCCTAGCATTGCCAACCGTGAGAGCTGCCGAGCTTGCGCGCGCTACAAACATCGACGGCGCGTGCGGACACGTTCGCATGCGTTGGTTCATCTCGTTTCTGCAAGCGCCCAACAAGGAACCCAGCTCGCGCCCGTCCAAGGCCCGCCGCGGGCCACGGCCCTCGACGCCCTCCAAAGGCGCGGTGGGTTCGGTCCCGATTGGTTGGTAAGCTTTGTTTATTCGCCGCGTTGAGTGTCTGTATCGCACTGCAACTGAGCACCGGCCAAAAGGAAGAGAGAGAGCCACCGCATGTTGCAATTGCGGAATGGTGGTCGAATCAGCCTGCAGTGGCTGAGCCATCGCCAGCTGCAGTGGACGACGACGACGACGACGATAACGACAACGACGACGACGACGACTGCGAGCGCCAAAACACGTTTGTGAGCACTAATGCGTACCGTTCAGTCCACGCCACGCCTGTGAGCACAGCGCCATACTTGCGGGGGATCCGCTCCCAACATGTTGGGGGGGGGGGGGGGCAAGCCCCAGAGCACGATCTTTAGCGTTACCCGTGGGAGGGGGGAGTGTTGGCCTGGGTAGCGATCGTTACGCCGGAGAGGAACAAAAAAAACGCTCAAATGGTGGAGGGGGGGTGAAGCGCGGGAGGCCCGCGCCGGTCGGTGAAACAATACATACAATAATCCCACCAGCCCTTTGGGCGTGAGTGGTTTAGAGAGCCCGCTCTGTTCTCAACCCCCTTCTTCCCCTTCGGGGAGGGGTTTACCCCTCCCCCTACCCCCTCCCCCTGGGCCTGGAGAGGTCCTTTCGCGGGTGGTCGGAGGGGTCTTTTTCGACTCCTGGGAGGGCTAAAATTCGACACCCCTCACGAGGATCGTGGCCCCGACGGGGGGGGAGAAAAGTGCTCGCCCCATCTGTGATCGATCGCCCGAAAGATGGCCCCAAGATACTCCCAGACCCCTCCCAAAGAGCCCCAAGAGGCCCCAAGAGGCCTCCAAGAGGCCCCCAAGATGCCCCCAAGAGGCCCCCAAGAGGCCCCAAGAGGCTCCCCCGAGGCACCCAAGACGCTCCTGGAAGCCCCTGGGGCCGCCAAGAGGCCCCCAAGACGCCCCAAACGGCCTCCAAGAGGCTCCCAAGAGGCCCGAAGAGGCTCCCCCAAGGCACCCAAGACGCTCCTAGAAGCCCCTGGGGCCGCCAAGAGGCCCCCAAGACGCCCCAAAAGGCCTCCAAGAGGCTCCCCAAAGACATCCCAAGAGACTCCGCGATGCATCCAAGAGGCCTCTGGCCCTTCTGCTCGTCCTCCCCTCCTCGTCCGCCTCCCCCTCTTCCTCCTCCCTCCTCCCCTCCCCCACCTCCTCCTCCGATTCCTCCTCCATCCTCCCCTCTTGGGATATGGCGGCATCCCCTGTCCTTCGTTTCTCTGTATGCTCCCACACTTCCCTGATCGAATCAAAGCAACTCCTCTGGGCATCATTGCTGAAAAGATGACCAACAAATCCCGACAGTCGGTACTCTTTGCTAAAGTGGCTGTTTTAGGATGGGCTGGTGGGGATTCGCGAAGCGTGAACAATTGCGATTTGGCTGGCCCCCGTGATTGGTGACCCCCATAGCCTGCGCCCAGATCCTCTCAAACTGGCTGTCGGTCCATATCTCGGGCCTCAAGCGATCGCTCGGGACGAATCTGGCCTCCCCGAAGGCTCCCGACAAGGCGCCTCCGATGGAAAACACACTGGGTCCCGAACGCCTCTGGAAACGTGCGCAGCCCTCCGACAAAGCACTCAAACCACACGCATGCCCGAGTGACCACGGCAGCGTGTTTGTCGGGGGAGTCCAAGGGCGGGGGGGGGGCGTCCAAGAGGGGGGGTTGCAACTCGTCACCCGAGGCACGTACGCGGCCCATATGGGACCAGGAGGCGTATTGAAATAAGAGGAGGGGCCATGACATCTGGGGAGATATCTTGGCCCCAGCGATGATACCCCCCCCCATCCTGGTCCTCCCCCCTCTTGATTGGATGCCCCAAATTGGTTAAGGAAACAGGGTACGATGTCTAACAGCGGCCACTTTCTGGCACGCGACTTGTTGCTTCAAACGGATCGAACGTCCGCGGCGACGCCAACGGGCGACCCCTGCGCAGCATGGACAGGAACCGCTGTGAATCTTGCCCCCGTCCTTTCCGTACCCCTTTCGCGGCCATGCCTTGTCTTGGACGCCTCCGAATTGGGGCCAGCCCTCTTGAGACGGGGCGGGTCTTCTCAGAAGGGTCGTAAATCCCCCAGCCTTCTGAGAAGTTTCGCTTCCTTCTCCGAATAAGCAAAAACCTTGTCAGAAAGCCAGAGGCCTTCTGAGAAGCCCCACCGCCTTCCGAGAAAGCCTTCTCCTTCGCGCTTCCCCCCTCGCTCGCCGCCGATGTATAGACAGAACCTTCCAGAACTCCGCGAAGATTTCTTGGATCGGCGCCGGAGGCGCCGCCAAGGGAGCCAAGCGCCGACCCGAGGGATCCGCGCGGACCTCAGTTTTGTGTCTGTGCAGCGACTTGTTTTTCGATCCCAGACCTCTCCCGGAGTCCAAACGCAGCAATTTCCTAAGCTGCGTCCAGCTGTGGCGACGAGGGCCCTCCCCCCTCGACGGCCAACTACCGTTGTCTCAACTCGCCCTCCTCTGCTGGACGCCCAGGAAATTGGGCCAAACCTCCTTGGGGGAACAAGCGGGGGGGCGCCTGGGAGCTCCCCAGGGAAGCCCGAGTCGCCAGGAGCCCGCCAGTCGGGGCGAATCCAGTCGGGGCGACGGGGGCCTCCCAGGAGGCCCAAACAGGCGAAAACGAAGCAAGTGTAGGATCTATACCCTTTCTCCTCTCAGAGTTCGGATCGCCCCCTGGCCTTTTTTACGACTGGAGCCCCGCACCCCATTGTTGCTGCTGCATGTTACGAGCAAGGTAGACATGTGTTGGTCCAGGTTCCCGATACTGGGCGAGAGCGCCTTGTGTTGAAAGATGGCAACGCTCGGATCTCATTGGACGCCACCCACGGACTCCGGATCCGCCGTACCGTACTGTGGGTGATTCTCAACATTGAAAATGTATCGAAAATGCCCCCCGCGCGAAACAACAAAAACGCTCAGATTCCCGCCTTAGGGAGAGAGATTGCGAAACTTCCCGCAAAAATATGGCAGAACACAGCGACGGCAACGTGGGGCGGACGTCGGCATCAACATAACTTTAAATCAGGGCGGGACTTTGCCCGCACTAATTGCAAAATCGCCAAAAAGATACGGCGCACATGGGGTCAGGGCCGGTTTGTGGCCGGAAACAAAGCTTTCGCCCGCACTCAAAGTCGATCGTGACCGATCGGCCGCGACCGAACTTGAAGCAAATCGGTCGCGCCGATTCCAAGAATTGGAAGCAACATCGGTACATGGCGACCGACCTAGTCGGCCGCTCATCCGATGATCAGGGCCAGCCCCACAGCAACATCAAATCTTGTCCACAACCGACAGTGGCCGCTGTTGGGCGGGCGAACTTGTGTCTCAAATGGACAACGCCCGCGGCGACACACAAACAACGAGTCTGGTTCAACATAAACAAATACTGCCGCCGGTTTGTGCGCCCTTTTTTTGCGTACCCGTTTCGATCGCCCCGACCAAAACACGGCTGATCTGGGTCGGAGATCTACACCTGGGCCAATCAGGCTCTGCAGGATTCTGCAAGATGCTGCAAGATCCCGCGCGCGCAGAAAACCGGGTCAGTGCACCACCGGCGCTCTGGCAGACCCCCGCTTGGATTGACCCCGCGTCGAAGCTCCCGACAGGACTCTGGGCCGAGTTTGGGCCGGCGCCCAGGCCTTCACCGCCCTGCTCCCTCGGAACACCGCCTGGATGCGGGCGGCGGCGCACTGCTCGCGCGCCCCCCGCGGCGCCGTCCTGGCGGCCGCGGCCTCGGCCCGGGACTGGCAAGCCTGGGTTCTGCGAGCCACTCGCATATCGATCGAAAAACGAACCGATACCGAATCGATCTACGATCCTGAAACTCGGTGGCGACATCGGCCTCCGTAGGCCGTCCTTTATCCGCGGGGCCGTCAAACAACGACTCGGGAATGAGAGACCAACCCCAAGGAAATGGTCGATATCCGGGGGGGCCGACGCCATGAGCAAAATGCAACGCCGAGGATGGGGATTGCAAAGCGAGGCGAAGCGGAACGAAACGAGAATGTGTAGAAAAACAACGATCCTCCTCACTCTTCTGACTACCCCCCTTTATGCTCCTCCTCCTCCTCCTCCTCCTCTTTTTTCCTCCTCCTCTTCCTTTTTTTTTTTCTCCTCCTCCTCCTCCTCCTCATACCCTTTTTCCTGTCGAACCGGACAAACAGGGGGAAGGGGGGGCAAATCAGCGAAGCAACTCTCGTGCTTGGGATCCCCCCAGCGCGTCGAACAAAACGCCCGGCAACGGGGCCCAAACCAACTGCATGCCGCAGACTTCATTCCGCCGCTTTCCCGATCCCCCCTGTCGGCCGACCCAAACCACAAGCCAAACCCGGCCGCGCTGGGGTCGCCAGGTCTCACGTGTTTGGAGACGTTTTGCTTTGGACTCACTCAAACGAATTTACATGCATTCCATTTCCCCGCGACCCCCCTCCCGCCGCCTTCTCAAGCACCGCTGGGCCGAAAAGGCGTGGAAATGAGCCCCGACTTGCGCGAACTCCAAGCTTCCTTTCGGGCCTCCTCACGCCCCCCCTCCCTTCCCCACGAAAATAAACGGACCAAAACTTTAAAACGGCCTCTTTTATCGCGACGTGACGTGAAGCGCGCTGGGCCCGCGCTGGTAATAGCTCTCGTTGCAGTCGTGCCACGTGTCGTCGTCCTCCGCCCAATACTCCTGATCGTAATCGTCCGTTGGCTCGTCCTCCGGTTCGACATGTAAGATTATTCTTAATAGTAATCTCGTTCCTCTTCGACGAAATATTATCTCCGTGCGTGATTCGGCTCCTGGCTGATGCTCCCCTGCCCGAAAGTGGCTTCCACCGCCTCGATCACCTTCTCCCGGGTGGTGTCCTTGCCGACCACAGACATGATGACTGCCTTCTGGTCCGCATTCTAGCCCCCACGTCGTAGCGTGAGCCAGCCTCGAACTGTGGCGGGTCGTTCGATGTCGCGCGTCTTGAGACTCCGTTCTGCTGCTCGAACTCGCGAGAAGTAGGCGAAGAACGCTTCGCCTCTGAACCGTTTTAATGTGTAAACGTACTCCTCGAAGTCATCCGCGAGCTCGGTGCGATCGCCCCATCATGAACCACTTCTGTAGCCTCATGAACATCTTCGCCGCGTTCGCCTTGGTGAAGTCGTCCGCTGAGAGATCCTCCGCGTCGTCCCAGGCCTCGCCGGTGAGACTTGCACTGAGCATGAGAGCCGCTTCACCTCCCTTCCTCTCCAGCGTGAGCTTCGCTATGAAGATCCTCGCCCGCTGCTCGTAATTGTTCCACTGGTTGAGTGTGCCGCCGAAGCGTGGAACTCCTCGCCAATGTGGAATGTCTGACCCATGCCGAAATTGAACTGCAAGGGGTCTGTACAAATCGAACTGCTGATGTCCTGTTCAATTGAACTCGAAACGTCTGGTGGAATCAAACGTGGACTGCCATGAGAAATCAACGGTGGATTGTCTTATGAAATCAACGGTGGACTGCCCTATGGATTTGTTGGGAAAAGGCAAAAAAGTTGTCGAAACCCAACCGCGATAAATCGACGAAATCAGCCGCCGAATGGTTTCCGTAACCGGAACTTATGGAGTGGTCGAACGTTTTAGTGAAACCGCCGCCGTGGTATGGAAGGTCGAAGCGTGAGACTGGCGAACCAGGCTCCGCGACCAAGATGAATTTTTCAGGTCCTCGAAATCTCTGATGGCAGTCAGAAAGATAATAGAGAATTGCATCGGGATGTTTTTCACACCGCTGCGCTGGTGACTCAACGGCCCTGCAAACATGTGGGCCAACGTGCGTTACGGTCGGAGGCCCCTTCGTCCCCCGCTCGTGATTATACCGCTGTTCGCGCTCTGATAATATCTGGCGATGCTGCATAAAACTCGATGTACACCATATATATATATATGTACTAGAACCACGCGCGCGCTTCGCGCGCGCTTAGGTTCTAGTCGACCCCATCCCTTGAGGAGGTCCCGTATCCACTGAAGTGATTGCCCATTGATGGTGTAAGCATGAGGTACAAGAAGCATCCATAATGCTGGCCGAACAGAACCCAAGCACCGACAATGACATATGCTCCTTAATCCGCCGACCCTGTCGGCGTGTGTGAGGCGCTCTTCCGTTTGTCGTCGTCGGTGTCGTCGTCGACGTCGCCGTCGCCGTTGTCGTCGTCGTCGCCCTCGCCATCTTCCCCCTTTCCCCGGGCCCTCTTCCTCAACCGATCCAGCCAATACGAAATCGAATCGAACAACGAAGGGAAGCACCTTCCCTTGATCCCTTCCCCAACGGGGGGGGGGTCCCGGTGCAACTCCCGGGGGGTGGTCCCGGCGGGTGGTCTCGGGGGGTGGTCCTGGGGGTGGTCCCGGGGGGTGCCCTGGGGCCCGCGGGGCTCCTGTTATTGTTTTGCCGATCCCGAATATGTGGCGGAGGGTCCCCGGGACCCCCCAAGAACCGGGGGGAGAGAGCCTCTCCTCCCTCCCCCCCAGCGTCCCCGCTTTGCCCCCCCTTCCAAGCGTCCCATGCTCCCCCTGTCCACAGGAGGGAGCCCCCCCCCCACGGGCCAGTCCCCCCCTCCACAGGGGGGAGCGACCCCACTTGGACGTCGTCGTCGTCGCCGCCGTCGTCGTTCAGGGTCGGCGGCACCGGCAGTAAGGCCTCTCCAGTATTCAATTCGAAGCTATGCAAGCTAATTTAGCCAAACACATGCAAGGCTATGAATGCAATGCAAAGCAAAGGAAAGCGATGCTCATCAGTGCAATGTGGATCACGAAACAATGCAATTGCACATGCGACGGAAAGCAGCCCAGTGGAATGCAATGCAATACAATGCACGATAAGACAAACGACCGAGAGAGTCCGAGGCGTCACGGAACTCAGAGATCCCAGGGACGAGCCGCCCTGGGAAGAGCCCAAGAGGACCCCAAGGGGAGCCCAGGACAGGGTCAAAGGGCACCCAAGAACATCCAATGAGTTCTCCGAGAGAGGCTAAGGGGGGCCCAAGCGTGGCCCCGAAAGAACTCCAAGCAGGCTCCAGAACGAAGCACAGGAGGGCCCCAAGAGGCGCCCCAAGAAAGCCCGAAGATAACGACAGAAAGAGAGGGTCCAAGGAAGTGCCTCCTCAGCGCGACAAAAAAAAAACGCAGAGGCCCACAAGGAGCCCCAAGAAGCGCGTTCTCAACAGCCCCATCCCTTGAGAAGGTCACAGCTCCACTGAAGCAGTGACCCACAACTGGCTTGAGCTCGAGGTAAAAAAGTACCGATCATGCGGATGGAAGCGAGACCTACGGCCCCAGATGAAGGCGGGGTTCACATGGCGCCCCCCCGTCAATTTCGGCACGGCACTCACACGGATCTTGTCCCCCTGGGAGCTCCCCTTTCGGGTCCAGGGGCGCAAAGTTCGCAGGCGTCGCTCCGCCCATCTCGGCACACCCAACACACGAATCGTGTCCCAGAGGGATGTCGTTTCACGTGCGGCCTTAGTGTGGGGATTCGCATAACGTCACGTCCCCCCCACGCGTATGTCGACTGTCTCCTCACACGAATCGTATCAACAGGGAGCTCCACCGACGGTTCCAGAGCCAACGTTCGCATCCCGCCGCCCCGCCCATGGCAGTAAATACACCCCTGATCTGGATCGTGCGTTCGGGGCGTCTTCGGTGCTTCTGTGGGCCACGCTTCTGTGAGGCCTCTGAAGCCCTGAGATGGATCGTGAATCGGGAGCCTCTTGAAGCCTTTTCTGGGAGCCTCGTGCAGGACGTCGAAGCGAGACCTCCCACACGCTTAATTACGGGTGACTACTGGGAAGCCTCCTGGAACCGTTTTGGGAGCGTTTTGGGAGTCTCTGGGGGCCTCTTGGGACCTTCTTGGGGGTCCTTTTGGGGCTCTTTGGAGCTCTTTGGGGCCCTCTTGTCCCGTCCCGGGGTCCTCTTGGACCGTCTGGGGCGCTTGGGCCGTCTTGGGGCCCTCTTGGGCCGTCGAGGGTGCCTCCTGTGGCCCTCTTGGGGCTCCCTGGGGACTCTTTTGGGAACCTCTGGGGGCCGTCGTGGGCCGTCGGGGGGGCTCTCATGGGCCGTGTTGGAGCTCTCTTGGGACGTCTTGGGGCCCTCTTGGGGGCCTCTTGGATCGTCTTGCGGCCGTCTTGGGGGCCTTTGGGTCCGTCTTGGGCGCTGTTAGGACCGAAGACGCGAATATGTTAAAAACGTACGTTTTCCGGAAGAAGTTGGCTGTTCTTGCCTTTTGGTGACCTTCTGGGAGGCCTCGGGCCGTCTTGAGGGCCTCTGAGGCCAAACACATCGATTTCCCGCTGGTTTGTGAAAGATTCGAATTTCTCGAGGACCTTTTCGGAAGCCTCTCGGGCACCCTTGGGGGCCTCCTGGGCCGTCCTGGAGCGCTCTTGGGGTCCTCTTGGTGCGTCTTGGAGAGCTCTTGGGCCATCTGTAAACAGTCTTGGGCGGATTTAGGGCTGCTCTGAGCCTCGGGGGCGGGTCCTGGAGGGCTCCTGGGAGGGGGGCACTACCTATGTACAAGGGGGGGGGGCCCTGCGGGTCCCCGGGGTCGGAATCCCCCATATATGTGTGTATGTATATATATATATATATATATATAGATAGCATACCAAGGGGCTGCTTTCGCTAAGTTCGTTCATTCGGGCTTTAGGATTACCAGAAAGTTTCGGCTCCTGCCACTTTTTCGTCTTCGAGCCTGGGCGGGCGGAATGCGCGGAGCCCTGCGATGCTCGCACACAAAATCTGCCCACGGCCATGGCGGACGCCCAACCCTCCGAACCCTCCTGGGGAAACCAAGTCAAGTACCAAACCCGTTGCTGCCCGGACATCTCCCGGGGCACGTCCTGACCAGGATTCCGAGGCGAGTCCAGCGGTGGCGACGAGGGCCTCCCAGGAGGTCCAAAGAGGCGAAAAGGAAGGATAAGGGTCTAGCAGGGCGGGTGCCTTCCCCTCCTCGGAGGCCAACTTCGCGGCGGCGGCGGCGGGCCGCAGCCGCGCCAGTTCTTCGCGCAGCGCGCCAGAGCGGCACGATCCCGCCAGCAGCCGCCGCAGCCGCTGTCGCATGGCGGGTGCCTTCCCCTCCTCGGAGGCCAGTTTCGCGGCGGCGGCGGGCCGCAGCCGCGCCAGTTCTTCGCGCAGCGCGCCGGAGCGGCACGACCCCGCCAGCAGCCGCCGCAGCCGCTGCCGCATAGCGGGTGCCTTCCCCTCCTCGGTGGCCAACTTCGCGGCGGCGGCGGGCCGCAGCCGCGCCAGCTCCGCGCGCAGCGCGCCAGAGCGGCACGACCCCGCCAGCAGCCGCCGCAGCCGCTGCCGCATGGCGGGTGCCTTCCCCCCCTCGGAAGCCAACTTCGCGGCGGCGGCGGGCCGCAGCCGCGCCAGTTCTTCGCGCAGCGCGCCGGAGCGGCACGACCCCGCCAGCAGCCGGCGCAGCCGCTGCCGCAAGGGCGTCGGCGGCGGCCCTGCCGGCGGCGGCTCCCGCAGCGGGCGGGCGGCTGGGCATGGGCTGGCCTGCGGCTGGCGCGGGGTCGGCTGCCTCGAAAATTAGAGCCCAGGCGCCCTTGGGTCATGACAAAATCCGGGCGGGAGGGTTTTTGATGTGTTCCAACCTCTGGGGGCCCTTGCCGAGCGCTCGGGGCCGCCGCAAAAAACGGCTTGGAATTGGATCGAGAGTTCTGGGGGGCGGCGTCGTGAAAAAATATGGCCTCGAGGGTCTGGGAGGCTCGATGTTGCTGCGCCAGTCTCCTCGCCTTTTCCTGCTCACCTCTCAAACCTGATACTGCAGAAATTGCAACATGGCCAGCAGTGAAGCCCTGATCATAGACTTCGTTTTCCTGTTTTTTTCCGAGACCGATCTGTGAGGGCCCCAGGGACCGCCAGCGGGCAAAAAACGCCAAGGGCGAAACAAATGCAGCGCCCGGATCCGAGGGCCTGGGGCGCTTCTCGTCGCCACGGCCAGATCCGCGTCGGAATTCTTCACAGAACGCCCTTTGGAAAGGGTCTGGAGGTCGACGCCTGCCCCCCGATCTCGCTGCCTGGGCGGGCCTGCGGCTGGCGCGGGCCCGACTGCCTCGAACTTCGAGGGGTCGTCCGAGGTTTATGCACGTTTCTCACCCTTTCCGGGCCTCATAGGGGAGGGGGGCGCCCAAGAGGTGGGGGCGCAAATCATGGCCGGCGGCACGTGCGCGGCCCAAGGGGGGGCCGGGGGCGAATTTAAACAGGAAGAGGCGCCATGAAATCTGGGGAGATATCGTGGCCCCCGCCGTGAAAACCACCGCCCCTGATCATCACCCGCCTCGATCTTTCCCGCCCCCGAACTTCTCGTCGTCGAGACATGGCCGCCTCCGCCTCGAAACTCTGGGCCCCCCCGGGCCGGGTCTGGAGGTCGACGTCTGGCCCCGGATCGCTGCCTCCGCGGCGGGGGCCAGCAGCTCGCGGGCGGCGCGCGCCACCGCGCCCTGGACGGCGTCCTCCACGCGGCGATCCAGGTCCTCAGGGGAAGGCGACACACGGTCGGGAGCTTTCGGCGGCATCTCATGGGAGCCTCCCATACCATCTTGTCGGCACTTGCGAGTCGACGCTCGTCGACGCTAAATCGACATTAATTGGCGCTAAACGACGCTAAATCGGCGCTACCTCATCGACTCTCAGACGCTAATCGACGCCTGTCGACGCTAAAGACAGAATTGCAAGGTTACACAAGGCTCCCATGATTTGCTACCGAAGGATCTTGTGCTCAGCATATCGCCGCGGCGGCCCTAGCGACACGCTACCGATATGCCTCGCGAGTGCATGTCGTGCAGCTCTCCGCGGGGCGGGGGGGGCGGCTCGGAAAGGCTCGGGACGCTGACGCAGGGGAACCAGGACGTGGATAGCGTGTCGCGCCGAAGCGTGGCGGGCCAGAACAGGCGGGCCGACCAGCGATCCAAATACTCCCGACCGTAGACATGAACTTTCGGAGGTCCTCGATGATGTTCTGGGTCGGTGCTGGAACCTCCGCCCCTGGCGCGTGGAGACAAGTTTATGCTTTATGCTTACGCCGCCTCTTGAGATCTTCCTAGAGGACCTCCACCAAACCGAGCCGGCGGATCCCTGACGGGAAGGCAAGACGAGAGAGGGGAGAGGGGGACAGGTCGGGAGTTGCGAGATTTGGTTCTGGCCGAAGGTGTCCCCAACTTTTGGCGCCATGTTGGGGCCCTCTGGGCCTCTCGGCTGTTGTTTACGCAACTTGCTCTTCTTCGGTCCTCGGAGAGGGAGAAGCCAACATGCACCGATACCGCTGCTCCCTGGACCTCTCCTGGGGCGCGATCTGACCAAGACTTCGAGGCCAATCCAGCTTTGGCGACGAGGGCCAGTGGCCCGGCGAAGGCCCCCAGAAGCCGAAAACCGGGAAGCACCCCCGAATCATCGCGTTCAATGTCAAAACGGCGAGCGAGGGAAGCGGGGCTTCTCAGGAAGGCCTCCGGGCTTCAGAGAGGTCTGCTGCGTCTTCGTGGAAAACCCAATTAGAACACTTCTCGGAAGGCCGAGGGACGTCCGAGCCGTCTGATAATAGTAACAACGGCATAAACAAAAACTTGTGGCGATCCGCGCGGATTTCTGGGATCTGCGCTGGACACCCCTCCCTGGCGCGCGGAGCGCGCCAGGGGCGGCGCTGGAGGCGCCGCGGGGTGGAGGGCTCAGCGCGGATTCAAGAAATCCGCGCCGAGCGCCGAAACGTTTTATATGCATGGCGCTTTTGCTCTTCTTCGAGTTTAAATCCGCCCCTTCTCGCTTCCCCCCAGGGCTCGCCGCCGATTTTCTTTTCCTCTAGTCCTCCCACATGCGCCGCTCCAGCCGCTGCCCCAGCGAGGAGAGCCAGGCGGCCTCGCCCTCCGAGGGGGGGCAAAGCTGTCCGCGGCCGGCGAGGGCGGGCGCCTCCGCGGCCGCGGCGCACGCCGCGGTGCTCCCCGAGCAGGCGGAGGAGGTGGAGCCTGACGACCCCCTCCTGCGGCCTCCTTTCCCTGACCTTCCAGGAGCGCTAAAACATACCTCCTGAGCTCAGATACCAAGATTCCAGTCGAGTTAAGCAGTCCGGATAGCTCTGGAGTGCTATGTCTTAGCCACTGGGAGGTCAGGGGCGGCCTCTCTTCGTCGGGGGGGGACAAAAAGGTTAGACAGCAAAAGGTTGGGTAAATAATCGGCTCACGTAGCTGGCTTTCCCGGAGCCAGGAGGCGCCCAGGTATCGAGGAATGGGCCTGGCGGCGGGGCCGAAACAAGCTGCTGCATGCAACAGATTTCTGACCCCCTCCCCGTCCCTATCCCCCCTTGAGTTCGGCCCGATCCCTCGTCTTCCTCCTCCTCCTCCCTCCTCCTCCTCCTCCTCCTCCTCCTCCTCCTCCTCCTCCTCCTTCTCTTCCTCCTCCTCCTCCTCCTCCTCCTCCTCCGTCCTCGTCCTCGTCGTCCTCGTCGTCCCTCCTCCTCCTCCTCCTCCTCCTCCTCCTCCTCCTCCTCCTCCTCCCTCCTCCCCTCCTCACCCCCCTCCCCCTCATCACCCCTCCTCCTCCTCCTCCTCCTCCTCCTCCTCCTCCTCCTCCTCCTCCTCTCCTCCTCCTCTCTCCCTCCTCCTCCTCCTCCTCCCTCCTCCTTCTCCTCCTCCTCCTCCTCCTCCTCCTCCTCCTCTTACCTCTTACCTGGCTGCGGAGGCGGGTCCATTGAGGGCCTCCGAAACAGGGAAGGAAAAACTTCAGGGCCGCCTCCATCGAAAGAGATGTTTCCAGCTACTTACGGCGGTTCGATTCCCATGCCAGCAGCCCGACAGGATGCGACCCTGAGGAACGAATCGCTCAGGCCAAGCCTCGAGATGTGTGGGGGGGGGGTCCCGCTGAAAGACGTGTGACCACTCTCTTGCCATGGGCAGTGAGGCCTGGAACACACTGCTTGCCTAGCTTCAAGACCTTGCCTCTCACTGGGACCCCCGTTCTTCCGCAAACCTGGCCCCGCCCAGCCCCGCGGAAGGAATCCAGCCGATGGGAAGCATGAGCCGACGCAGGGGAACCCAGGGCAGCCCGAGAGGAGGAACGACTCTGGGTCATGAGACTCCTTGACGAGACAAGCCTGGCACCGCCACACCCCCGAGGCGGACCGTTCAACTCGGTGTTGCGGGGCGGACATGAACTGCTCGAGCCTTTCTTTACGGGCCTGAAGAGACTGGGCAGCACGCAACTTAGCTTATTCCTGGCGGTTGCCGCTGGCGGAGGCCCCACACAGGGTTGGCGCCTGCTTAACAAAAGACAAGAACACCGCCAGGGGCGAATCAGTCGCTTGCGAATTCAATTTATCTGTTTCGGCTATCTACCAACGGTTGCCAAACGGGATCAAGACCATCCTAGCAGCTTCATCTGCCGCGAGGTCGGCTGGGCAATTTACCTGCCAGTGCGCCACTTCATATCCTAGGGCCCTGGCATCCTCGAGACTGAGATGGGCGCGAATGTGCCGCACCTGGATGGGGCGATCACCTACTGCTCCCCGGAAATCTCTCCAGAGGGAACCTAGCTGCCTAGCTTCCTATGTTTAAACCGCAGACCCGCTCGGATTCCTTTGACAGCGCCTCCATTATCAATGACGCTGAAAAGAAGCCCTGCAGTGCATTGAGCAACTCTCAAAATCGCCAAAAGCTCTGCTGCCGGGGTTGGCGGTCGACTGGCAGGGGTCATAAAGCCCAGCCGATGTGGTTTAGGTGGTCTGAACGGAGAATCGCGAACCCCCAACCACGCCGACGAAGCCCGGGGTCAGTCAAGTCCTCCCCCCCCGACCCGTCCGACCCAATCACGCACCCCTCGTCAAGTGCTAGCCGTCCTGCCTGCAACTGCGGGCTGAGTCTCACAGATCCTTGAATCGGCGCCCCACGCAGGGAATATGTCCATGTCCAGGCCAAGGGCGGCGAGCCTCTAAGCCAGAAGCTGGGTGCCTCTTGGCTACCATCTACTGCCTGTTGAACCAAGCTCCTTTTAACTCCGAGATCAGTCGCAGGGCAGCTCCAGAGCTGGCGGAGGAACGCCTCTTCAGGAGCCCCATGCCCTGGGCACAAGGGAGACCCCCAGGGAAGATTAGGGCCCAGGAGAGGCTCCGCGTCACACAAGCCAAATCAAAAATATTCCCCCCCCTGCTCCTCAGCCGCGCTAACCCCTTGATCGACATGGAGCCGAACTCATCTTCCAACGCCTGCGCATGCGAACCGGCTGAGCGCTCACCAGGGCGGAAGGGGCGGCGGGCTCCCACCCCCCCAAACCGACGGGGGTCTGGCCAGAGGGCTCCAGGGTAGATCATTTCTAGAACTGCTGCCTGATCATGAACTCCCATGGCCGCCCGACTGCCCGGATGATCCCGGGGCCATTCGGCTTCGAGAAGGCACCCGACCGCTGCTGCGACAAAACCATTCGCCCGCTTCCAGCGGTTGGCCGCATCTCCAAGCCTGTCCCGGGATTGACCCCAAGCCACGCTGAGTCCGTGCTCATTGGCTTGGAGGAGTGCTGGCAAGAGGTGCGTCCAGTCTCCGAGGACTCGCATGCGGGTTGAAACCGTCGGGCCACAGCGGGGACCCTGGAAATCGCACCGAAAAACAGCGGTAGCACAACCCCCTTCCCGTCTCCACACCGCGCCCGCCATTGCTGTGCGGGATCGACAAGCCATGGTGGGACTGACTCATTGGGCTTCACATCCCCAGAGAGCCTGGGGCCGCCACCCGGCGCGAACTAGACACTCGGCTCGCCTACCTGATTTCACAACGCGCTTGATGTTGGAAGCTCGCTGCGATGCCTTGGCGAATCGCTGCTTCAACACTGCTGCTGAACGAACTTTGCCTACTACGCCTATGCTGACGTGTCACCGCGAAGAATGTGGCCAGCCGAAGCGAGAGCAGACAGCACTTGGGAGGCGAGGGAACAGGGGGTGGCAAGGACCTGGCTTTAACTGGACATGGTAAAGCCAGAAGACTCGAGCATATCTGCGAGGCGGGCTGGTTTCTACTGCCTGTTGAAAAACGACTCCACCGCGACCCTTGGCTGAGATCGTCCACCCAAGATTCCAGAGCCAGGGGGCGATAAGCCGAGTTGGCCGCCTCCAGGATATCCCAGAGAGCTACTTTGGAGACGTCAGCGCTTGGGGATCAGCCAGCAGGCAGGCTACGACCTGGCACAGCTTGCCCTGAAATGGAGCCTGCAGCCCTGAGCATCCGAGGCGCTCGGCGCATGTCCAGAACTAGAGCAAGAGGCATCAATATGCTCTACTCGCTGGGCGATGCTCACGACCGCTTCGAGCGGAACACGATCGTAGAATTTCTCCAAGTCCCAAAGAATATGGATCCTGTACCCCATGGGCGAAACCACTTCACACTGGGTCTGCCGCAGGAAGGCCGCTCGCAAGGCTGAGGGGTCTCGGACAGCTCTGTCCCAGAACTGCGCGCGAGTTAAAACTCCCACCAGCCCTCTGGGCGTCGGTGGTTTAGCGCGTTTCCTCTTCCACCCCTCCCTCTTCCCCTTCCGGAGGGGTTTATCCCTCCCCCTACCCCCTCCCCGTGGACCTGGACGGGAGGGGCGGGGAGGTGTCAGGGCGTCCATAACGGCCCTGGCGAGGAAGCCAAAATCATTGACTCTACTAGGGTGTTGGCCCCATGTTGGCCTCCTGAGGGGCAACCCTAATTGAAGCTCCCCTCTTCTTTGATCGATGTCCTCCAAGATGGCCCCAAGAAGCTAAGTCTGTGTATGATGAGTACGTCTGGGTATGAGTAAGTCTGAGTATGAGTAAGTCTGTGCATGAGTAAGTCTGTGTTCTGGGTGTGTTCTTGTTCTCTGGAGTCGGCGGCATCCAAGAAATAACAATAATTCCATCTTAGGATATGGGGAATAATGCACCTGCGCGCCCTGCCCCAGACCCTGTAGAGACCTCGGATTACAGCAACCGGGCGATCTGCAACGACACACTTTCAGATGAGCTGATCTACTACTGGACGGAGCTCTGGTGGCCAGGTTAATTCAGACTCGATTTCCTCAAGGATCTGTTGGAGCTCCTGAAGGGCCTCAGGAGGCAACTTGAGCCACTCCCGAGGGTTTGGGAGATCAGCACCTTGGCCGACCGAGGCCTCGAAGCACTTGCGGGCCTCCTCCACCTGTTCAACTGAGAGCGGTTCCCGCTCCTGCCTGCGGAAAGGCCCACGCCAGGACGGAGAAGGCCCCCGCGATCCAGCTTGCCACAAATCCGCCCACCTCCGAGCCTTCACCCCAAGCGCCTCTCCTGGATCGACAACCATTTCTCCCGACGCGTCGAGCTCGCAGCTGAACTCGGTGGGTTCTGACCCCCACGTTTTGGCACGAAAGTGCAGAGCGCCGCGCTCCCTCTCGCCATGGAGTCCTACATCCATTGCTTGAAACTCTTGGTAGAGGCTCTTGAGATATGCGCTTCAAGAGGACGTAGGAGGGACGAAAACTTGCTAAGGCTGGCCCTCAGGTCCTCCCCCGACGCAACCGGCCCAGGGGGGCCCGAAACTTCGGGCGCCTCTCAGGCAGGAGGCGTGGCAGCTTAAAGCCGCGGTGGCAAGTCGCTGAGAAGGACTCTGAAACGGTCCGGGTGGGTCGTTCTTTCTTCGGCAAGCCCTTCCATTCAGTGAACCGAGAATGCAGCGCCAACCAGACTGAGAGATTGGAGGTCTCTGAGAATCACCCTTCAGGCTCGGTCGCAAAGAATGGGCTCCCTGCACTTGAACGCGCTAGCCACGGTGCATGCTGGCGCCTTGAAAGTTACTTGGCACATCACGATTGGCGTGGTAAAACTCAGCTGAAAGACACAAGTGCGTGCAGGCCCTAGACCTCGGTGTGACGGAGACTCCTGCTGCCACTGGGGATCTTCGAAGCCCCTCTGCAAGAGCCCCCTGGCGCGCCTCTGGTGAAACTCCCAAGGCACATCGGGCCCCAGAGCACGCACCGGCGGAAGGCGCAGGCTGATACACCCACCCTCCTCTATGCGGTCCTGGCAAAGCGGGAGGCCCACGGAACCAGATACCAGGAGGAGGATCATGACGCCAAGGAAGGGTAGGACTAGCATTCTCTTTACCACAATGCTTGCACCACGTCCACCACGATTCATTACGCTGACATCCGCACTCGCTGCAACAACAACACTTCCCGCGAGGTGCCTTAGCTTGGATGTTGCCATCATTTGGCATGAACGCGACAACCACCCAGAAGGCCACTCAAACGACACAGCGTGCAATTATCCCCCACGCCAGAGTAACCAACGTCCTTGAGCCAAATGGCTACGGACTTGAGCCAAAATGGCGACGGACCTCCTCCATCTCCTCCTCCTCCTCCTCCTCCTCCTCCTCCTCCTCCTCCTCGATGTCGGCCCCACAGCAGCATCAACCAACATCGAATCGGGAAGTCGGACCGGATCGAAATGTGCGTCGACTCGGGCTGCATCGGCACGGGGTTAGAATCGAGTCGGATCGGTTGCGCCAGTAAGCACAACAGCGCCATGCAGGCATCGGGCCGCGTCGGATCGCTGAACATCGACATCGAATCGAGACGGCCCACAACGATACTTCTCGAATCGGATCGGACCGAGGTTGCCCTGCGCGGCCGACGCCGAGGCGGACGAGCAGGCGGCCGCGGCGGCGCAGGGGCCTCCGCCCAAGCTGGCCGCCAGGCGGCTGTCCGCGGCGTCGGCCCTCGCCTCCACGGCGGCGACGGCCTGCTGGAGCCGCGCCATCGTCCTGCACAGGCCCTCGACCTCCTGGGCCAGCCAACCCTGCATCTCGTGGCCGAGGACGTGCTGCGCGCTGGCAATCTCCGCCGCGTCCACGCCCGCTGCCTGCGCGCGCGACAGCGCCACCCGGATGGAGGCGGCGTCGTGCTCCTCGGCGGCCGCGGCCAGCTCCTGCTGGGCCGCCAGCCTCTCGGCCCTGCCCGCGTCCTCGAGCAGCGCGCCCCCCGGCCTCGCCCCGCCCAGCGCGCGCCGCCGGGAGGGCCGCGGGCCGCCGCGCCCGGCGCCGCCGCCAGCGGCGACGCTCCCGCTCGGAGCGTCGGCGTGTTCGGCGGCCTCCGCCTCTCCGTCTCGCAGGTGGCCCGCCTGCGGTGGCTCTCGCTCGGACGCACGCATGCTCGGCATGCTCGCCGCGGCCTTCGGGGTCCTGGCGGCCGCCTTCTGCACGGCCCCAGCCGAGCCCCCCGGCTGCTCGTCCTCGGCCGCGGCGAAGGCGCCGCTGCGCCGGAGTGCCGGCTTCAGCGCCGACGGTTCGGAGGCCGCGGAGTCCGAAGAGAACCCTCGCCAGAGCTGCGGAGCGCCCTTCCTCGGGAGCTCCTTGGCGTCTGACGTGTCAGGCGAGGGCAGCGGGGAGTCCTTGACCTTCGGGGTGCCTTTCTGCGGGAGGTCCTTGACGCCTGGCGCGTCAGGCGAGGGCAGCGGGAAGTGTTTGCCATTCGCCTGCGAGGCGCCCCTCCAGAGGGCATCTTTGACGGCTGGCGCGTCAGGAGAGGACAGCGGGAAGTTCTTGTGATTCACCTGCGAGGCGCTCCTCCGCAGGGGATCGTTGGCACCTGGCACGTCAGGCGCAGGCAGCGGCGAGTTCTTGAGATTCACCTGCGTGGCGCCCCTCCGCAGCGGGCTGGTCGCTGCGCCTCTGCCGTTCGCCTTCTCCCTGCCCAGCGCCTCCCTTCGCACGAACAACCCGTGGTTGGGCTCGCACGCGAAGTACGGCACCCCCTTGACAGACCCGTCGTTCTTACCGCTGGGGGTATCGAGCTCCACGCCCATCCACTCGCCCTCGGCAAAGTTCGTCCGTCCAACGAACTTGAGGACACCCCCAGACTTGTGGCTCTCCACGAAGACCCGCTCGCCTGGGCACGAGGGGGGGCCCAGGGGGAAACGGGTCCTGGGCCGCGGGGTCTCCCCTCATGCTGCATGTTCTGAAAAGAAAGAATACAAAAAAACGTCTGTCCCATCGCACCAACCGCCCGTGTCGCATCTAACCCTGTGCCGTGCCCCATGTGCACTCGCCGCCAAACGAACAAGCACATGAAACGCGCCGCGCATTTCTGCGCGGGGGCGTGCCAAGCCCGAAAGCGCAAACAACGCGGGGAAAATGCATCAACCGCCAGGGCAAGATCGCGCGGCATCGACGCGCGCAGATTTCCGACGCCGCGGCGATCGCTCGACCTTGAACCGACGATCAAAACTCGATCGTTCCAGGTTGAGTTCCGTCGCGTCAAAATGGCGCCACCGCGTCCCTCTGTGTTTCCGCGCCGCAGGATTCAGCCTTAAACGCCTTCGCTTGTCGCTGGCGCGCCAGCGCCGCATGCACCTGCCGCAGCGCTCTGACAAGCCTCGCGACGGCACCAGCCGAATCGGGGAGGAGGAGGAGGAGGAGGAGGAGGAGGAGGAGGAGGAGGAGGAGGAGGAGGAGGAGGGGCCCTATCGCTCTCCGCCGCGGGGCCGGGAACGGGACGGCGCGCCGTGTGGCCGAGGGACCTGGCCTGCGAACGCGCGCCAGTGACGCGGGGCGCGACGCGGCGCGAGAATCTCGCCTGAGCAGGGGTGGGCAACCTGAACATCTGCCCAGCCATCAAATGGCCACGGCAGACCTGGTGCTCGTAGCTCGGCAGAGGTTCGCGACGCCAGCGACGCGCCTGCAGCCATTACCAGGTAGGAGGGATGCGCTGTGGGCGCGCCAACCATGAGGGGCGCCAGAATCGAATCTTTCCCCGCGGCGCGCGGAGAAGAAACCCAGAACCAGGTAGGAGGGACACGCTGTCGGCGCGCCAACCACGGAGGGCGCCAGAATCACATATTTTCCCGCGGCGCGCGGACAAGAAAATGGCAGACGCAAGCGCGCTCCAGCAGGCCCCGCTTTGGCAGGATTCCTGCCAGCCTCAAAGCCGAGATTCTTGCCGGGTTCCTCATACGCGCACGGCAAACACTGAAAATGTGAGCCTCAAAAACCACTACTGCCCGCGCGGCCAGTGCCGCGATTGCCGGGGCCCTGGGGGGAATGTTTCGCGAACGCGCGGTTGACTTTCCAAGAAGGCCACGACGCGCCCCACAAAACGCTCCAAGATGCCCACGACGGCTCCGTAACGTATTTTGACAGATGCCCGCCGTCTGCAAACGTGGGTTGTGGCTCATTTCCCCATACGGCGAACACTGAGAAGGTCAGCCGCAAACATCACTGCCGGCTGTGCTGTCGATTCCGCGATTGCTGGGGGCCCCCCCAGCACGTATTTCGAGCAGTCCTCCCCCAAGGCCCCTAAGAAACCTCCACGACGTTCCACGAAGCGCCCCAGACCTCTAGGAAGCATCCAAAAAGGCACCAAGAAGCCCCAAGCAGTTGCCCAAGAAGCTCTCAGGAGCAACACGCCACAACCGCCAGTTCCGCAAAGGGTCGGCGGTGTGGCGTAAGCTCAAGAATCACATTGGTCGTTCAATCTGAAGTGTCCGCGCCAGGAGCATGCGCCAACACTTTACGCATTTCCCTGCGCCACCGGTTCCCGCGCACGAGAGGCGATCCAGCAAAACTCACTGACATGATTGGGTTGCAACGCGCACCCCGGGGCCTGCGGTGTCGTGGGGGCCCGGCCGTGCCTTGCAATGCACATGAAATCCAATGTACACAAAGCCTCAGCGGCAGGCTTTTGTTTATTATTACACGGCAGAAAGAAATGAAGGTTGGCGGTCCTCGGGCGCCCTTGGGAAACCACAGAGCGTTCACGGAAACGCCGGGCCTGGCACCCCGCTCTATATCTGTATATATGTGTATGTACATTTGAACATATGTATATATATATATGTATGTCTGCCAATGCAAGTATTTTATTTACAATGACATGCTTGTAACTTGCGACCCTGATACCGTGCTATATATACCTACAAGCATACATCTATACATACAATATGTTTCGATCTGCAGGGCGAGAGCGAACCTCTTCCGCTGAAAGCTACGCGGTACGCGCACAACTTTAATTGGCTGAGAAGGGGCGGGAGAAGGCGGGGCCTCACGCGGCCAGGGGCGGGCGAAGCCCAGGGATCAGGCGGTGCCGAACGGGACGTGCAAGAAAAGGTACACCTTGGACAGGAGCCCGGTGGTGAAGTCCCGGGAGGAAAAAAGGCCGGTGGTGTAGCCGTCAGCGGCGCTTCGAGAACACCAGCCTCACGTACCTATACATACAAACACACATACGCATACACACATACGTCCATACATTCATCCATCCATCCATCCATCTATCCATCCATCCCGCTTCTCGGGAGCTTTAGGGGTCGTCTTGGGCCTCGTGGGCCTCTTTGGGATCTCTTTGGCGCCTCCTCAAGGTTTTCCGAAGCCTCTTGGGAACGTCCTTGGAGCCTCGTTGGTGCTTCTTCGGGCGTCACGCGTGAGTCTCCTGTAGCCTCTTGAGGCCCCTTGGGTGCGCTCGGGGCGCTTCTTGGGAGCATCTTGCGGCGCCCTAGGGGGTCACGCGCAAGCCTCGTGAGCGTACAGGAGGCGAAAAAGTGAGAACGCCAACGAACTGGGACCCCATTTGGGAAGCCTCCAATTGACCCTCCCCAATCATTCCTCTTTTGAGGAGCCTGCTCAGTGGGGGAAGCATCGACCTGGATCGGCGATACATCGCGGACAGATCGGTGATAGGCCCCGGCGATCGGAGGGGTCGACGGATGCTGGGCGGGGGCGATACATCACGAAGCTGGGCGGGGTCGACGATCGGGCCCAATGTATCGTCGTCATACCGGCGAGTGGTTGCGATGGGGTATCGATGCATCTTCCCCTGAGCCTATCCTATCTATCTCCCCTGCTGACGTTGCTCGCTGGTTTTCGGGTCATGGCTCGGATGTTCGGCGGCCGTTCGGAACGATCGAGACACCCCACAATGCCCTGGGCGAGGCGCAATTGCCAGAAAACACTCCCAGGCTGGAGAACCGCCGGGGGAGGGAAGAGGAGACAGGATCTGCCTCCTCCGAGTGCGCCGCCATCTTGGATGGCTCGTGGGTATCTCCCGCGAGCTCTCTGAGGCGTCTGGCCCTTGTGACCGTCACTACACGCCGCATGCCCTACATGCCCTACATGCCGCCACGCTGGTTCCGGGCAGGCTGCGCGGTCCGGCGGAAGGGGACGAGGGTGACGAGGAGGGGAAAAGCCGGCAGACGACGACGAACGCCCAGGCGGGAGGCCAGGGCCGGCAGGCGGGCGGGCAGGCAGAAAACGGGCCAGGCGGAAACAGCAGGCAGGGAGCAGGAGGAAAGGAAAGGGAGGGAAGCAACGAGCAGAAGGAAGAGGAGGAGGACGAGGAGGAGGAGGAGGAGGAGGAGGAGGAGGAGGGCCCTTGTGAGCCTCTTGGAAGCCTCGCGGGCGCCTCCTGAGGGCTCCTTGGAGCCTCTTGGGAGCGTCTTCGGTGCCTCGTTGGTGTTTTTTTCGGGCGTCATGGGAGGCCTCTTGAGGCCCCTTGGGTGCGCTCGGGGCGCCTCTTGGGAGCATCCTGGGGCGCCCTAGAGGGTCACGCGCAAGCCACGGGAGCGTATCGGAGGCGAACATACGAAAACAACAAAAACAGTTCCATTGGTGTTTAACAAGTTTTGGCCGCTATCGGGCTTCCTCGGAGCTTGAACGGTCTTGGGGGCTTGCTGGAGGCTTCTTGGCGCTCTCTTGGGTGCTTGTAGGAGCCTCGTGGGCCATGAGGACGTTGTCGTGGGCGGTCTCAGAGCCCTGTTGGGATGTCTCGGAGGCGTTCCAGGCCGTCCCGAGGCTTCCTGGGGCCGCCTGGGAAGCCTGGGAGAGCGTCTCGAGGCTCCTGGGGCCACCTGGGAGACCCGGGATGGCGGTGCAGGCGCTGGCATTTGCCCGAGATGTCAACAAGGTGGGGGTCGGAGCCCTGGGGGTAGGTACGCATTTGTATTACACATCAATTGCTTTTCTTCGTCGGCAATCCAATATCAGCCAGCGTTGACTCCAAATATATAGGAGGACAGGAAGAGGACGAGAGGAGGATGGGATGAGGACGAAAGGAGGACGGGACAAGGACGGGAGGACGGGAGAAACAAAATCAAGCAAGCGCAAACAAGCAAGCGGTAGCAGGCAAGCGCAAGCGAGCAATAACAAGCAAGCAAGAGCCAGCGATCAAGTGCAAGCAAGCAAGGGCACGCAAGAGCAAGCAAGCGAGAGCAAGCACGCAAGAGCAAGCAAGCAAGTGCAAGTGAGTGCGTGATGCTGATGAAGAGGAAGCCATAGGAATCATAAGGATCCATTGGAATCGCCATTGGAAATAGCTGGGGGGTCCCGTTGGGAATGAGGGGGGTGCCATTGGCAAAAGGGGGGGGGGCCATTGGAAATGAGGGGGGGTGCCATTGGAAAAAAGGGGGGCGGGGCTAAAGACCAATTGCTTATGATGAGCTAGGGCTCCTATAGGGCAAGCCTATTTGGAGAACATTGGCCCTAGGACCCCTCCCAGGGTCCAATCGCACCAGATTTCCGCGCTGCGCCCAGCCCAGGCGACGAGGCCCCCCCGAAGCCCCCCCCCCAAGGGAGGGAGGGAGGAGGGAGGAGGGTGGTTGGGACTCCCAACCACCCTCCTCTGGGAAATCTCGGTCGATCCTCCTCCACTTTTCTTGGCGATGATCGCCAGCGACGATGTCCCGACTTGATCGCAACGTGGAACCCCAGAGGTCTGGAGACATTCCCCTGGGACGCTCTTCCTCCCGAGCCGTTTTTTTGACGGCCCTGGGACACGACGCGGGCCCCAGGCCAAAAATTAGGGAAAACCTTCTGCCGTGGTTTTGCTCACGACGCCAAGTGTTCTGGGTTGGTCCGTCCTCCCAATCCCCTGCGAATGGGGATCAGAGTCAACGGAATGAAAACTGATGTTCTGGGAAGAATGCTGGCTTGGGCCAGGCATTTCCAGAAAGGAATGACTTGCCTTGGAAAAGGCAAGGGCGGCATCGTCGTTGAAATATACGACCCCGAGTGAGGAAATCAGCGAAATTGAGCCTGACTTCTCCTGACCCCCAAAAGGCTGACCCCCAGTAGCAGGCGAAAGATCCTGTTCTACTTTTGGCGCTGCTCGCCGACGACCAGGTGCGCCGCGCTCCCGCGCGCCAGCGCGGCCGCGGCGGCGGCCATCGGGGCACGCGCAGCCTCCGAGGGCGCTGGCTGCGGGGAGAGGCAGCCTTGCGAGCACTTCGGGCCTTGGGCGACTCGGGCCGGGGCGGCCTGTGGCGCACGCCTGCTCGAGAGCTGCGACCCGGTGCTCGGACCTCCGTCTGTCTCTCTGGGTGCAGAGATTGCGAGAAGAAGAAGAAGAAGACACTGCATAAGCACACACGTTCGAAGCTCCACGCGGACTTCTTGGATCGGCGCTGGCCCCCCTGGCGCGCTCCGCGCGGAACCCCGAACGTTTCATGTTGACACAATGTTTTGACTATCCGATTTCAGCCACAAATCTCTTTCGGTAAGTTCGGCCTCTGGGAGCTCCTGCCGGGACCCTCGAGTGTTCGTTGACGAAGAAGGGGGTGAAGAAGCGTGCGTGCGCCTTTCGTGCACCTTTGAGGCCCGCGCTAGCAATTCAGGGGCCCCTTGGGGCCTCTTCCCCGTAATCCTCGATCCCCCGCATTCATTGCCCCGCTGGTTGCCGTCCTCCCGGGGCCGCGGATACGGATGTTTTTCGCCCACGTTGCATCGGCGACGCCAGCGATGCATCGGCGTGGGGAAAGCTGGCCCCACAACGAAACACATCGCCGATGCATCGGCGATGCCGTTCGATCTTCCGAAAACTTACTCGGGCCAAAGTCCTCACGCTTCCCCCTGCCATCGCTCGGACGCCCATTCCCCTTGCGCTGCTTGGCTTCGCGATTCCGTTTTCCTTCAAATGACGGCCCCGTTCCTTTTCGTCGCTCCACCGGTCCCCTCCGTTCCCGCCCGCCCCCGAGCGGGCCGCGAGGCACGGAGCCCAGAGAACGCGCACCCACCGAGGGCCCCTGCGGGTGGCCCCGCCCGCAGGCCTCCCCGCCACAAGGGGGGCGGCCTGCCCCCTGGGCGGCGTCGCCGTGGGCGTGCGGCGGCGTCGGCTTGCCACGTGGGGCGGCGGCGTCGGCGTACAGCGGCGTGCGTCGTCGGCGTGCGGCGGCGTTCGTCGTCGGCGTGCAGCGGCGTGCGTCGTCGGCGTTCGGCGGCGCGCGGCGGCGTCGTGCAGCATCGGCCCAGTGAGGCGAGGGGGCAACAGCAGCCACTGGGGGCCTCGCGCAGCGGGGCCGGCAGCCGCTCGCGCTCCTGGTTCGTCTCGAAGTGGAGCCTCCGCGCCCACGGCGGCGGCAAAGACCGAGAACCGACCCAGGCCTTCACAATAACAAACAACCGTGTGTCCAGCAAACACATGAGCAAAAAGGGCATGGCAGCGATTGGCGGGTGCTCGACTGCACCTCGCCTGCCACAGGAGGAGGAGGAGGAGGAGGAGGAGGAGGAGGAGGAGGAGAAGGAGGAGGAGGAGGAGGAGGAAAGAACTCAACCAACAGCGTATTTCCGTACTGCCGTCTTCCATTTGTCGGCTGGCAGCGAATGCGGACTTCCAGACACCTGCAAAGCAGTAGAAAACAAAACGATGTTGTTTCGCCGTGTTCGGCTTCTGGGGGCCCCTGCTGGACCCCAGGACCGTCAACGACAATCCGGGACGAAAACCAAGTCCTGGGGAACTGGTCCAGAGCCAAGGGGACCGCGAGTGGATAAACATCGAGATGTCCGATGTCGAAGGAGAAAAACCAGGGCGACAGCAGAGCAGAGGCCCACCGATGCAGATTTTTTCGTCACGGCGAGGCAGAGGCAATCCGTTCGCGCGCAAGCTGGGGCGAAGCATGCACATTGCCAAACCCGAAGGGGGGCGTGGAGGAAGAACGGAAATGGAGGGCACTCACTACAAACAAATCTTCGGCAGGACTGGCCAATGCGGCCCGTCGTTGCTAAAGGGTCCTGGCAAATGGACGCGGAGCGGCGTCGCGCCCACGCCCAAGGGCCGATGCAGCGGCTGCAGGCACAGAAAGCGTAGAAAAAGTCAATCCAGCACAAGGGGAGGAGCAGCGAGCGAGTCCACTGAGGCGGGTGGCACCCAAGTGTTGGCCCAAAGGGCGCACATTTGGGGCATTGCTGCGGTGCGACGGCAGCGGGATGCGAAGAAACCGGGACTGCGAAGGGGCTGGCCAGCGAGTCGCTCGCGGCAGCAAGATGCTGCGAAACATCAGAGCTGGGCTGCCGCTGGCTGGACTGCAAGACCGCAGCGAGTCGAATTGGCTGCAGCGCCGCGGAGGGCAGCTGCCGGGGGCTGCCGAGCCAGGTGTATGCTGAAAGTTCTGCACTCTGACGAGTATAGGGGATATGGGGCCCAGACTGGGGCACGAAATTCAGCCAGCAGTGAGTCGCTGTCACTAACCATGGCAACGCAAGAACCAGCGCGACTGAGCTCCTGCACAGGTTGACGTAAGCAGGAGCCACCAATGGAGAGGGAGCCCGACATAGTCGCGGGAGCACACCCTCGCGCGGGCGGAACCTGATCTTGAATATGCCACACAGCAACAAGACCGTCAGAGTCTTCCGTGACGGGCCTAGGATAGAGGCCAGCGGGGTGAGCGGCAGCTCCCGAAGAGAAGGCGAGGAGATGCTCACCCAACTCTTCAGCCCTGACGGCCGTCTCAATGTCCGAAGCCCCCCCCCATTCTGACGGCAGTGGCCGGCGCGTGGTTGCAAGACCAGATGCGGCGGCGACACATCGCGTTTGGCCTGCCGCGCAAAGGTCGCGCTAAGTCCACCTGGTAGACCAGGCAGAGCGCGCGCCCCCTCGCGGGGCAGGCCTCTGTGGCAAAGACACGGGCGCGACTCTTTTCAAGTGGGGAGGGGTGGACTTCTTGCTGGCAAGAGACCCCCTCGTAATGTCGCAGCGAACCCTGCGGGGCAAACCGCGCTTGGCCGCGTCGCCCCTCAATGACGCGCGAGCGTAAGCTTCATGGCAGTGCATTTGAATGAGAGAAGGAAGCGCGCTGCCCACGCGGACCTTGAAACACCTGTCGTCTCGCCAGAAAACCAACGCGCGACGCGCAGGGACGGCGCCCCGCAACACTTCGCCACGAGCAACTATCCTTGTTGAAAACGGTGGACCAGGCACGGCGCAGCTCGGGAATCATAATAGACCGCTCTAACTGAAATGTCAGGGCCAGCCGCATTTCCTCGGCCCGGCGAATAATAGGCGCACAATCGATGCGCCAGCAAGGGCCCCTGTCTAGAATTGCCGAAGTGGTGAGCGAGCGGAGCTTCGAATGAGGACGGGCAATGCTGATGGGCTCGCGGCGAAGGAGATGCAAGCAATGGCCGGGCACCCCCGCCACTTCACTCCCGTGACTCGCCCCCGCCAGCGGGCCAGCAGGAAGAATAACCAAAAACTTATGATGTTACTTCTCTTGGAAACCTAATCTAGAAGCCTTCCTGCAGCTCGCCGCGATCCTGGCCTTGAGCTTGGCCGATCTGTCCTGGGCTCTGAGGGCGCGCCCCGCAGCGCAGTCAATGCCTATGTTGAAGGCGAAAGGCGAGCTGGCAGGGCCAAGGTCCGCAAGCTGGGCAGCGACTTGCTCTACAACGTGCTTCGACGAGGCAACGGTGGCAGTCTTCTTCGTGGCGAAATTGCAGCCTAAGACACCCTCAACAATAAAATGCAAATAGCGGGCCCTGGAGACAACGCTGGACACCGCGACCTTAGACGACCTGTTGCGCGGCTAACCCTGCGCATCAATGTGCGCGTCTAAGAGTGGGCTGGGGAACGAGGCGATCACATCCTTCCATTCCATGAGCCCTGATCAGGGCGGCGGCGCACGAGCGTCCCGCGACGGCCCCTCCGGCAACGAAATGAGGGCCATCAGTGACCCCGCCTAGGCAGAGAAAACGCCCACCCGCGTAGGCAAACATGGAAAGCCGCGTCAGCACAGGGGGGAAGTCATGTCCGTAGCATCGAGCGTCCAGCTCCACAAGGCTGACGGTTTCATAGAATTTCCGAAGGTCGAAGAGCACCGAGCAGGAACACTAGCCATCAGCAGCGCCTCCTGCCGCCTCGACAGCTTGACGCCGAACGACGCCCGCCGCCCCTTGATGCTGGCCAGCAGCCCAGTGCCCCCCCGGGGGTGTTGCTGGACCCAGGCCAGAGCGAGGGGGCGCCCGAGGAGCCCCCGCACCCTGCACCAGGAACAGAGAACCCCAATCGGTCTGCACCCGCCACTCGGCGCCGAGAGGAGAGCTAACAGCGAAGCGGAAATCTGAGGAGGGAGAGCTCCCACCGCTTCCATCAGCCCAACGACAATGCAGGAACAAGTGAGATCCATGCCCCCGGGCAGGCGAAAGTGGCCACAGTGGAAGCCATCGAGAGACACGGCGGAATCCTTTTCTGTAGTGCTTGGAATCAGCCTGGATCTCTTCAACCGGTAACCGAGGTAAGGGGTCGATCAAGGATCCGGCAGGTCTGGCCCCCCTCGCCACTTCCCCGCGACGCCGCAAAGCGGCCGCCTTCAGCCATGAGCAGCGACAAGGGAGCTGACACCGCGCAGCCTCGAACGCTGAGGGCGGGGGCGGGGGTCCAGGGAGACGGGCCCCGCATGAGTTGATGCGCGCGCATGGAACCAGCATCGATGCCCACGCGCAGCCAAGCTGACCAATCATATCGGGGCTTCTGGCCAAACAATTTGGTGGCCATGTCGAGCTCGCTCATGACCTCAGCCTCGAATGCTTCAGAATCTGAGGGGGGGGGGGGGGGGGGGGGGGGGGGCGACTGCGCTGAGGCTCGGACCAGCTCAGCAGCAAGGGCGAAAAGTAGAGCACGGGTGCCAACATGATTGGCAATGTACGCAGGAGGCTCGGCGAGAAGATTGCCCAGCGCAGACCCCTGGCGGACGCGGCCAGAGCGCCTGGAGGGCATGCGCGCGCGCCGCTGTGCAACGAGCCACTTGATCGCTCGGAGTTCAGGGTGCTCGGCGCGGCCTTCCCCAGCGAGGATGGAACGCGGCGCCAGTCGGGGCCCCAATGTTCGAGCGCCCAGCTTAATGAGTTCCGCCCCGAGGATCGGCGCCCAATCTGTCTCAGCATGGTTCGCCCAAGCCTGGTGGAGGGGCCCCAAGAGGCTGATGGCCCCCTTGTAGTCACCTCCTTCAGCGCGGTCAACACCTCTCTCAGCTACGCCCAGATCGCGGGCCCGCGAGAACCCCCAGGACGACGGCCAAACGCGGGCTCGACGGGCAGGGAGGGGGCTCGCGAAAACTGAGCGCCAGCGAGACCGCAAGTTGAGAAAATCAATGAAGATGAAAAGGGCGTTGAGGCGAGAGAGACGCGGACCAGCCAACCTCGCAAACTCGCATGCCCTTGGCAAGACCCCCCGAGCACGCGAAATAATCAAACGCGTCGGCAGCCCCATGGGGAAAGCGCGCGCATGTCGGAGGAGCCGCGACAGTGCCGCGCAGCCTGCTCGCAAAGCCCGGCACCTCGAGGAGCGGGGGCTCGAAGTTGCGGTCCGCGCCCGCAGCACAAGACAAAGGACTTTGCGACGACGAGATGCCAAGCCGCGGCGAGATGCTGCGATTGCGGCCCGAGAAGGTCTTTAGACATATAGAGGTAAGACGAAACCGCGATGATGGGGGGGGGGGGGGGCAGCAGGGGAGGCGAATGTAACCGGCGAGACAACGACTGGGAACAATCTCGCCCCCTCCGTGCTCTGCAAGCCTAGCCGTGACTTGGCAAACATCGGAACTCCAGCTGGGTTATCACCAGCTAGCGCGATCGCAGCATCTGTCCACGACGATTTCCAGCCTCTCTCGGGGCACCGCGAGCTGGCGGCCTCCACGTCAGCGCCTCTCGAGCGGCGTCGCGGGCACCAAGGAACACGGGCGCGCGGATAGCTTCCGATGAAATCCTCCATGGCGCCCCGGGAATTACATTTGACGGCCGTGATATTTAGTTCAACCTCCATGGCCTTGTTGGGGTCCAGAATCGACTCGGGCTCAGCTGAAACGAGCGCTGGCTCCGACGCAGGCGCGCCAGAAGAAGAAGAAGAAGCAGAAGCAGGGGGGAAAGATAAACAAATGCTTATATGACCAGTCTGGCGGCGATCCAGCACAAGGTGGGAGCAGGAGAGGTCCGCCAACGATGCCAGCGATGGCTTTGTCGCGCCTCGAAACATGTCCAGCGAGACTAGCGAGCCTGGCGCGCGGGCCCAGCAGCGGCAGCGCGACGCATGTGACCGAAGAGGCCCCATTGCCGCCCTGCTTGCTGCCAAGAGAGACACTGGGCCATGGGTAAGGCTTGGCAGGGCGATCAAAATCTACCGGGGCACAGGCAACCTTCCTGCTGCAGCCGCTAGCCTTGCGAGGCACGGGGTTGACAGGAGGCGGGCGAAGCGCAGCATCGGCTCGGACAGAAAGAGAATACCGTCGCTTCCTGGCTGATCAGTCTGACACCTGAACGCCAGAACACGCGAGGAACGTCGGGGGCCCTCGACTACTCCAAGGTTGGATCTGGGCCTGCGATGGGGGGGCCGGAAAAACGTCGCTGGGCGCAGACAAAGCCTGAGGGCCCCTCTGGAAGAACATCTCTGAGCCCGGGGCCTGAAACTAAGCCGGGAGGGGCCTGGGCGAGGCCAACCGCTCAAAGGCTTCCAAGGGGTGGGGGGGCGGGGGGGCTAAGCTGCAGCAGAAGCCGCGGCGATCTTGGCCGCCCGCTCGCGCGTGCCAGGCCGAGGCTCAGAGGGCGAAGCCGAGGCGGCAGCCTGACCTTCAGCGCGGGCATCAGGAGCCGGTGCTCCTTCAGCGGGAGGAGGAGGCCCAGCTGCAGCTGCCGCAGCACAGGGGCCTGCCGAGCCTGGGGCGTTGGCAGCCTTCTCGCCGCTGTCGGAGCGCAGACGCTTCGCCGCGAGCCTCTTGAGGTGGGCCTCGTGCCCCTGCCGAGAAGCGCCCACCTTCTCCTTCGCGTCACGGAAGAGGTTGCCTGCGAGGCCTGGGATGCCTTCGCGTACTTGGGTAGCACGCGCCTCCAGCTCCTGCTTATCCTCTGGCTTGAATTCGTACACGAATTCGTCAATCTTGACGATGCCAGCAGCTGACAGGTCAAGAAGCGCTTCTACTTGTTGGGACGCGGCTGTGCTACTTCACCGTCAGAAGGAGGGGCCTCGAGCTGCGCGTGTAGCTGGCGCACCAGGTCGCTGTGCTGCTTCTCCAAACTCTCCCACTCCTCCCTGAGGCTGGCGACATGCCTATATGCTGTTCCATGGCCTCGAACTTGGGCACAGCGCCCTCCAGCTTATTCCCAACCTGACGAGCCTTGGAGTGAGCCTGCTGAAGACGTACCTCAAGGCTGGCAGGACGCGGAGCTTCAAGTGCTTGGGCTGCCATCCGATATGATTGTGCCGAACGAGTGTCGCACATCTTCTCAGCTGGTACTCCTCCGGACACAACTTGGGCGACACAGCAGGTTGAGTGGCGGGCGCCCCCACCACGCCTCCAGCCCAACCAGTTGCCGCCGAGGAGCCACCGCCGCCGCCCTTGAAGTGACCAGGCGGTACGTACTGGCGGGAGCCCTTTGGACGCGTTGTTCCAGACACTGTCAGCAGCTCGAGGTTTGGACGCGCCATGATGCTTGCACCACGTGAACCAGCTGGCGTTGCGACCGCATGCGCGTCCAGCGCATTCCACGTGGTGCTGAGGATGGCACTTGAGACTGAAACCCAGGGACGAGAGGAGGCCAAGCATTGCGAACATTCGGATACACCCCGCCATCTCCTTGGACCCACGGCGCGTAATAGAAATCCTGGCAGCCCGCCCTTCTCTCCCTTGGAAGGAGCGCCGCCGCCTGGGCCTTTTTTCCCAATGCTCTGCGGAATGCCGTCGTGAATGTGTAGCTGTGGTGCTCACAGCTGGTAGGAATGAAGAGGAAAACACACCACCTTGGCCCGCAACAGCCATGCCGTTCTGAAGTTGTCCGTTGCAAGCGCAGGCAGAAGCCTGAGCCATAACGGCTCAGGAGGAGGGGGAGGAGGAGGAGGGGGAAGAGGAGGAGGAGGAGGAGGAGGAGACACGCTGCGGAAAGAAATGCAGCACCGTGCAAAATCACGACCGGAGCCCCGGACTAAATCTTCGCGCGGACTTTCTCGAGCCGGATGGTGAGGGCCCTGGAGACCGAGAGCGGGTGACAGTGCCCAGCGCGATCAAAACATGCGACGTCCGAGTCTCGAGCCAGGTCCTCCGACAAGGCCGCAAGAGGCCCTCGGGGGGAGGCCTGCGGCGACGGCGGCGGCGGCTCTCGCTTTGGTGGGAGGCACCAGACCGACCGCGCCCCGATGTTGCAGGGGTCCTTCGACTGGGAGACCTCGCCCGCTGCCTGGCCGGCGGCGGGAGGAGCTGGCGCCGGCAGCGCCGCCCCCCCCCCCAACTGCCCCGAATTCAGGCGTTGCTCAATGGGTGTGCGAGGATTGGGGGGAGGGCGAAGAAACGCGCATCTTTCGTGTCCCTCTCGGGCCCCTGAAGTGCACGACCGGTGCACCCTTCTTCACCTCCCCATTCATCGCCCTCCCATTGCGCAACGCCCGACCAAGGCGCGACGACCGCGGCTCGAACGTCCAGGGTGAGAAGTGCTTCCAGCGCGTTCCGCCCTCCTCGGGCCGCCGAGGAGGATCCTCGTCGCCACGGCTGGAGTTTCAGCAGAAGCCTGGCCGGAGCCTCCTCCGATCGAGCCAGGGCCAGCCAGGGCCGCGCCGCGAACCCCGGCCCGGCCACGGAGCAGCTCCCAGACCCGGGCCAGCGAAGGGCGGAGAAGGGGGAAGCAGCCCTACGCATGGCTCTCAGACCTGAGTCGGCCAGAGTAGTAGTAGAAGAAGAAGAAGAAGAAGAAGGAGAAGAAGAAGAAGAAGAAGAAGAAGAGCAACAAACACTGCAGAAACAATAACTTTTGGCGCTCCGCGCAGATTGCCCAGATCCGCGCCGGACTCCTTTCCGCGGCGCGCGGAGCGCGCCAGGGGCGGCGCCAGAGGCGCCGCCCGGGGGGCCCAGCGTCGATCTAAGAAATCCGCGCGGAGCGCCAAAAGTTTATGCTTATGGCGTTTTTCCTTTTTCGATCCAAAACCTGGATCGGCCAAAAGGGATCGGTTGACCCCCACGGGTTCGTGTCGTGCCGACCCTGGCGCTGGTTCCTGACGCCACGGGGATCGTTCAACCTTGAATGATCTGCAATTTCCGAAACGCCAGATCGGTCAACATCGACCGACTCTGGCTCGCCAGCGGCGTTCAACGTTGAACGACGGCGGCGGGGTCGCCGCCGGTCGACACGACGCGAACCTCACGTGTTCCACCATGGACACCTTGTTTCCATCGCTCCTGGGCCGTCTTCGGCTGTCTTCGGACCGTCTTCGGCGGCCTTCGGTGTTCTTCGGCGGTCTTCTGACAGTCTTCGACGGTTTATTGCAGCCTTCGGCGCGAAAGCTGGATGGCTGCGTTCCACAAGGGGCCCATGATCAAACACCAAACGACCCACTTCTGTTTCGCAATACAAGCCACCTCTCGATACAACACGTCGCTAATAAGGCGACCCTGGAACACCGTACGAACCAACCTGCAAGATGCAAGATACAAACTCATGCTATGAACCGTGGCCTGGGCAGCAAATCGGCAATGCAGCTGCAGTCATCTCGTATAAGAAGGACGCACGATGAGGACGCAAGGGCCTTGGAAGGCCATGTCGACACTTTGGCGAGCGGGGCGCAGCCAGCGAAAGCGGCCAAGCATGGGGGCAACCTTGAAAAGTCGCTCACGCTTGCTATGCGGGTTGACTGTAACTCTAAGCCTGCCTGAGGTCTTCATCCCGAACCGCTTTTTGACAGTCTTGGGGCCCGGGGGAGGCACCCAGGAAGCAGCGGGAAATCTGCAAGACACCTGCTCCCCAGGCAGGGCCCTCCATGAAACGGGGACGTAAAGGGGAGACCGGCGGCCCGTGTGCCAGCGCTGGATGGGCGCCGGGAAGATCGGTGAAATGAAAGGGGGGGGGAAATGCGGGGGCGAAAACACATCTGCTCAGATCCGGTCCTGGGACACGTCCCGTGGGCGAGCCTGACCAATGTGTCGAGCCGCGCCCACCCGCGACGACGAGAGGGCCCGTCCCTCCCCCCTCTGCTGGCCAGGACCAGGTGCCAGGCCACCTCGGCCCCAGAGGCCCGCTCCAACCTCAGGGCCCCGCCCTTGATTGGCGGTGAGCGAGGTGGGGAAGTGAGAAGACGAAGGCCTTCTCAGGAGGCGGCGGGACTTTTCAAAAGCCCTCGCGCCTTCTGATAAGTCTGTTCTGTCGCCGAGGAAGGCTTAGAAAACTGTTCAGAAGGCCGCGGGACTTCCGAACCTTCTGAGAAGGCCTGCTCCTTATCACTTCCCCCTGGCTCGCCGCCGATTTGAGGCGTCGAGCTCTGCCTCGCAACCGGTCGGAGCGCCCGTTCGGCCCGGCCCACGCGAGCGCCTCCAGGGCGTGAAGCTCGCGCAGCACGTCGGCCGCCAGCGCGCCCTCCAGGGTTCCGTCGATGACGGTGGCGCCGACCCCGAGAGACAACCTGCGGCTTGGCGGCGCGCACGCATCGGGAGCAGGCGCGTGGGCGCCTGCCCTGAGATCCTGGCGTCGCCATGTGCTCAAACGGAGATGCACTGGCCCGAGTCAATGCAAACCTGGGTCAGTCAGGCCTGACAGGATCTTGCAAACTCCTGCAAGATCCTGCACCCAAACCGCAGTGCAGCCCTGGCTCTGCAAAATCCGCCGACCCTGTCGGCGTGTGGAAGAGGCTTCTCCGTCTGCTCCCTCTTCGTCGTCGTCGATGTTCCTTCTTCTTTCCCCACAGCGTCGTTGCTTCTACCCCTCTCCCAAGGCCGTCGCACTTGAGTCGAAGGGAAGCCCCTTCCCTTTGATCCCTTCCCTGGGAAAGGGGGGGGGTTCCCGGGGTAGCTCCAGGGGGGGGTCCTGGGTTTATACGCCGCCCTCCCTGGGAATCCCGGAGCCCAAAAAGGCCCCAAGACCGGCCAAGAAGGCCCCAAGAGGCCCCCAAGATGATCCAAGAGGGCCCCGAATCGCCGAATTATCTGTCCAAGACGCCTTGACGGCCTCCAGACGGCCCAAGAAACCTGCGAAGTCCCAAGAGGCCTCCAGGACCGTTCCCACGAGAGCCCCAAGAGGTACAAATCATGGATTTCCCATGCGTTTTTGAAGGATTTTGGCGTTCTCGCCTCTCCCGCTTCCCCACGCGCCAAGACGGCCCAAGAGGCTCCCAAGAACGCCCCGACACGGCCCAAGAGGCCTCCAGGAGGGTCCCCAAGCGGCCCAAAAGTGCCCCAAGACGGCCCAAGACGCCTCCCAGATGCACAAAAGGCACCCAAAACGGTTCCATTTCGGGGGAACCGAACGGACATTTCGAGCCCTCAGCCCCGAGAAGCTCCCAAGAGGCCCCCCAGGAAGCCCAAAGAGGCCCCAAGAGGCCCCCAAAAAGCTCCTAGGAAGCTACAAAACAAACTAGGAAGCCGCCGACAGAACACCACCCCACACCACACAGACAGAACGCTGTTATTTCTCCCCAGTGACAGAACGCTGTCTCCAGGGTCGGCGGCATCGGCCGTAAGGCCTTCGCAATCCTGCAAGGTCTGGCGCTCTGATTGAGCCCTGCCTCTTGAGCCCCGGCTCAGTACTCGGCAGCGACTTCGCCCGCTCTTCGGGCCCCAGGACCTTCACAAATCGGTTCGGCTCGAAACGTGAAGCAGTAAGCTGGCGTCCAGCGGCGCACAGAAGTCGGGAGGGAGGAGGAGAGAGGCCTCTCAAATGGGGTCCAGGTGCGAAGAAACTTAAAGGTACCGGTGCCGCTGCTCCCTTGACCTCTCCAGGGGTGCGTGCTGACCAGAGACGAATCCGTCGGTGGCGACCAGGGCCAACCGAAGGGCAGCAGTATGGGCACCCTCGTCTCCGCTGAGACTTGATGAAATCGGGGATCGCCGATGCATCGCCGACGAATCGGCGACATCATCGCCGATGCAGCGTCGAAGTCGGCGGTGCATCGGCGACGCATCGGCGGGTTGGCGGCGCACACGAAGCGGTAAGAGGAAGGAGGAGAAGGGATGAAAGAGGAGTGGGGAGAAAAAAGGAGGAACGAGGAGGAGGAGGAAGGATGGAGGAGGCGGAAGCGGAGGAGGAGGAGATGGAGGAGGAGATGGACTAGGCGGAGGAGGGAGATGATGATGATGAGGAGGAGGAAGAGGAGGAGGAGGAGGAGGATGAGGAGGAGGGGGAGGACGGGGAGGAGGAGGAGTACACGTCCCTGAACCGTGACCGAAATGTGCCCAAATAGGGAGGAGGAGGAGAAGGATGAGGATGAGGATGAGGATGAGGATGATGAGGAAAAGGAGGATGAGGAGGAGTTGGAGGGAGGAGGGAGGAGGGAGGAAGGGGGGGAGGGGGGGAGTGAGGAAGTTCGAAGAAGAAACACCTACACAACGACAAACGTTCGAAGCTCCGCGCGGATTTCTTGGATCGGCGCTGTACCCCCCTGGCGGCACCCCCTGCATCGCCCCTAACGCGCTCCGCGCGCCAGAAGCACAAACACCGCGGACATCCGAGAATGTTTGTGTATGTTTGTTTGGTTTTCGGGGCATGGCGGCGCGCGCAAACCGGAAGGAAGGAAGAGGCGGCGGCGGCGGGGCTCTGCGAACACGCGTGTCAGACAACCCAAAACGCGACATCATTCAAAACCTGTCCAAATGCCAAGAGTGCGCTTCGTTAGCTGTGCGTGAGCACGTAGCGGGGGCTCGAGTGCGCCTCGGCTAATCCAGCTCGCCGATATCCTTGGGACTGGGCCGCGCTGGAAACCACGACACACATTGTATTAATCGGCAACGCCAGCGGACGCGAGCGTGTGGGTCGAGACCGGCGGGGCGCGCCGGGCACAAGGCGCGCGGAGCGGGTGGGCAAGTAGACAGCCTCCGCGAAGGAGGAAGGAGGACGAGGCCCGAAGGGGAGCAGCAGGTGGACCATACTGTCGAGGTAGAAGGCGGCCAGCGAGGCACATGAGCATCGCTGCGGGCTAACAGAAAGGGTCGCCGCAACTCTACTCACATCGCTAGCAAATTCAAATGGAGGAAACCCCGCCCCACGTCGACACAAAAAACTCCTCGAACGGAGTACGGCACAGGGTCGAGAGACGGAGGCGAAGCATGATGATGATGCTGATGCTGATGCTGATGATGATGATGATGATGAGGATGAGGATGAGGAGGAGGATGAGGAGGAGGAGGAGGAGGAGGAGGAGGAGTACCTGGATTATCCTCCCGACGACAATGTCGTCTCCTCCGGGCGCGCCCACGCTCGCCCTCGGCGCCGCGGGGCTCCGCTCATGGCGCCACGGGCGTGGGCGCGCCCGCCGCTGCAGGCCCGCAGCCTCCAACTCTCGCGCTGCGCCTCCGCGTCGTGCTCGCGGTGCGACTTCCGCGCCAGCTGCTGGTCCGCAGCCTGCAGCTCTCTCGCCGAACGGATTCTCCGCGTGGGGATGGAGGGCGTGACGACCCGGGGCTGAATTCCAGCCCCCCCTTCCCCGCCGCTCGCTCCTCCATACTCGGCCAGGCCGGACCTTCTCCTTTGGCCAGGCTGGCCGCGTGCGTCCGTCTTCTCGCCCTCCAGCGCCGCCCTATCATCCTGCTTCTCGATGTAGTCGGCTTGGCTGCTTGCTTCTGCAGCCCCTGCTGCTCTGAGCGCCGCCTGCGCGAGCCACCTTCCCAACCTCTGCCATCTTTCCTCAGGGCACTGCTCTGCCTCAACCTCTGCTTCGGCCTCTGCCACCTTCCCAGCCTCTGCCTCAGGCTCGGGTTCTTGTTCGCCACGTACTTCTTCAGGACTGGGCGGTTCGCAGGGCTCGCCCTTCTTCACCTCGTCGTCGGGAGATGGTCCTCGTGTCCGTTCTGGTCCGTCTGGGGATCGCCTCCCCCTGCAGGATGCGCCGCGTCCCGCTGCCAGTGCTCTGCGTCAGCCAGCTCCTCCCAGTGTTTCAGCCTGTGCGCCATGGAGTCGCAGCTCGGCTTGCCCGCGCATTGGCTTTGCATCTTGTCGCTGAGGTACTCCGTCACCGAGCTGGCGCATACGCGGCAGTACCACCTTTTCTGGCTGCCGTTCCATCTCAGCGGGTGTGAGGCGCGTGCGTCTGCACCGTGGTAGCTGGCGTTTCTGCCCTCCTCTGGTGGCGGGCCGCCACAGCCTTCCTTGAACCATCCCCCGACGGTCTCGAAGTCCGCGGAGCTCTTCATGACCGCCTGGTTGCAGCAGGTGCAGGTCGAGCCCGTGCCTCGGCGAGATCTGCTCAGTGTGCGTGGTGGGCGGCCTCGTCTCTTCCTTCCCGAAGTAGTGTGCCCTGAGCTGTCCCTTCCGCCTCCTCGCTTCGGCCTCCTTCTGCCACGCTCTTTTCACCTCCCTGCGTTCGCCTGGCCTCCTGGCGATGGCGTCCTTCGTGCTGATGGCGACGAGAGATCTCGCCAGCGCGGCCGTGGCTCAGGCCCACTCGTAGCAGCTCATATCGTTCCTGGGCATGGCATGACTCTACGCCCCTCGCTCCGCCAGCTTGTCTGATGTTCGGCTGCCTTCCCATGCTTCTCGTGGGGTCCCTTTGGCTACGGGCTCCTCCGCAGTCACGCGGCCGTTCATGTGTCTGACCTCCACTTATGGGCGACTTTCTCCTCCTCTGGCTCGAAGTGATGCACGCATCCTCTTCCGCAGAGTCGCCGTCGGTACCAATTTGCTCCTCCCTGTAGCCCCTCTCCTCTCGCCAGTCGATGAAGGTGATCTCGCTGTCGGTCCAGGACGCGACGGGCCCTTCCGTCGCCCCGAGGCAGCGGATGAGCGCGAACGGCTCCGCTCTGTTGTCCGTCTGCTTGCTTCCTGGGAGGGCCCCGTACTGACCCGCCTGCACGTCGAAGTTCTCGCGCCTGGCGGCGCTGCACAGGATGGCCTAACTCCATCCGCAGCGCCTGCGTTTACCGTCGCTGCTGCGCTCGCCTCCTGAGCCGTCTCCGTCGGCGACGAGCTCTCCACCTTCTGCTGCTCGACGTCGGCGTGGTGCTTGCGCTTCGCCAGTGCAGGCTCCATTGCCCTCCTCAATGCAGCATTGTGCTGGGGTAGTCCACGGTGCTGGTGCAAGGCCACTGAGCCAGAAGATAAGGTTGGTCGCCGCCTCTTCCTGAGCCCCCCCGGCGAGCCCTCCCGTCTTCTCGTGGATCACGCGCGGTTCCCATCGCCGAGCAGTTGCCCCAGATGCGGCGCAGGTCTGCGTTTTTCTCGCCCCGCTCGCGCCGATTGTCCTCGCACCCGAATCGCCTCGCACGCCTGCCTTTTGTCCATGTACCTGCGCAAGATGACGCGACCGGCGCGCCGTACTCCAAGTAGTTACCATTCTTATTCAGCGCCTCCAGGTGCTTGATTGTATCCGTGGCTTCTTTGCCTCCTTCTGCTCCTCCTCCGTTGTGGTGTTGGGCTGATTCTGCCCATTGCATCTGGGTTTTGCCCCTCAAGAGCGACTTGATGATGTCCTCGGGA